TGTTTATAATGTGTTTATCTAGCCCCGAAAAATCCTTATTACGTACTAAATGGAAAAAAAGAGGACATTGGATTGACCTCTAAATATGCTTTAAATGATCCAATTTTTTTCTGGGATGCAGTTTGTACCTAATGGACAAAAATAAACCTTGTGGAGAAAACGTATACAAATATGTGATATTTTGGACCACCCTACTGACCATGTAAGGGTAGTGTGAGGGTGTGGGGGTGGTGTAAGGGTGTGGGGCGGGTGTGAGGCTCGTGTGAAGATGTGAGGTTGGTGTGAAGGTGTGAGGTTGGTGTGAAGATGTGAGGCTGGCATGAGGGTGTGAGGTTGTGAAGCTGGTGTGAAGGTGTGAGGCTGGCGTGAGGTTGTGAAGCTGGTGTGAAGATGTGAGGTTGGTGTGAAGGTGTGAGGCTGATGTGAAGGTGTGAGGCTGGTGTGAAGGTGTGAGGCAGGCGTGAGGGTGTGAAGGTGTGAAGCTGGTGTGAAGGTGTGAGGTTGGTGTGAAGGTGTGAGGTTGGTGTGAGAGTGTGGGGATTGGTATGAGTGTAGGGTGTGAGGCTGGTGTAAAGCAGGAGTGAAGGCATGAGGGTTTGTGAGGCTGCTGTGACGTTATATGTCTGTGAGGCTATTGTGATGGTTTATGTCTGTGAGGTGCTGTGGCACTGTATGTCTGTAAGGGTCTGTGACGCTGTTTGTCTATAAGGGTCTGTGATGCTGCTGTGAAGGTGTATGCTAGCAAGGGTGTGTGAGAAATAAAAAAAAATCGTATTCTATTAATATAACTTCTTCAATTCTAAATCTAAATATGCCAAAGATATGAAAGATTCTTTACTCAACTTCAGACAACCTGTACCCTGCAACTGTGTAAATGAGGCAGAAAGTCAGTCACATTAGTAACATGGGCCTTGGTCACAATTTTTGTGATGCTCCTTGCACAGCTCTCTTAACACTCGGATGCATACAGTAGTACCCCGATTTACGTACGCGGTCAATTGAACCCACAGGGTACCGCGGAAAGTGAAAACCGCGTAAAGTGAACAACAGAACATATGGGATTAATTCCAGTAGAGACTGGCCTGACCCCCAAACTCCACTTTTTCTGACACAATACCTATGCTGTAGTAAAAATAACATCTAAATTTTATGATGGTATGCACACACAATTAATATTTAAGAGAAATACAGTCGCCAGGTTAATGTCCATTCAAATAATGGACTCAACTCCCCTGCCCCCCCTCTTCCCAGCTCACTGGCTTCTACCTCTCTGAGAAATGTTTGGGTGAAAACACTAGATTTTATCGTATAGTAATAAATAATACCTCAGACTAAAGTTAGGATAATATAATTGACATTTCTGGATTCCTTGCAGGTCAGGGAATATTTTGAATGTAAACTTCATATATTTTGCACAAAAGATAAAATATTTGCTTTGTGTAAACCAAATTATTACATTAGATCTAAAATTTGTATGTAATGCAAAATCCATGATGTTTATATTCAAAATGATCATCATATTGTAAGAATTCTAACAATGTAAATTATATTCTGGCCGGGTAATTTGTATGAATTTTATGAAATAAAAAAAAAAATTCTACTTCACAGCGTATATGAGTAGATGCACCGCGGAAAGTGAAAGTCTGGTTCTGGCAAGGTACCACGTAAATGAGAAATCGCGGAAAGTGAAACCGAGCAAAGTGTGTAAAGAGGGGGTAATACGTACTGTCAGGACCAGGGCTTTTTTTCTTCACTTTAATTAATGTGTCCTCAATATTTCTGTTACCTTTAGATCATGTACACCCAATTGATAGCTTGGATCATACAGTATATAATTATGATGAAACAGTCAAAAGATTTAGGGCTTTCATGAAATGATGGTGAAGCATTAGGACTGATTAAACATGTTTAATAATTGTGAATCACACTATTGAGTTAGGTGCATGATCTCCTTGATATACAATACAGATATGTTGGTGGGATCTTCTATATATTATTTTTTATGCATAAAATGCAAAATCAGTGGGAAAGCAAGAAAAGAAAATGAACATAAACTTACAGGTTCTAGAAATGATGTCTCTCCACACAAAATATAGGTACTGTAATTAGTTTTCTACAGCCTAGACTGATGGTTTACAGAACTAAAAGTCATAGAGTACAATAACACAGTAGCTGATTGGTAGAAGGGAAAAGTTTGTAATCTGAAAAATGTATGGAAACACCTAGCTTCAAATACCTATGCCCATTGGGATTGAGAGGACTTGGTAGTTTTTCACTAGGTCACTCATATTAACTACTCATCTTTATCTGGGTGGAAAAAGGCTTAAGGAGCAATATAGTGTTGCCTTTCCTATAATACCACTGACTTATTCAACCTGTTTAAGACAGTTGTGATTGGTGTGTCACAGTTACAAATCATTATTTCTCTGGGAATGAACAACAGATTCAGTTATGATGACACACAACTTGGTTGCATCACATTCACCAGATGACCACTTTTTTTTTTTACAGGAATTAGCCCACCAGGGCACAGGTCAAACGAACCACAATGAGACCTGAAGGGTGGGGGGGGGGGAATAAGAACAGAAAGAAATTGAAAATAGAGAAGAAAAAGGTTATCTTGCACTGCGTTAATCTACACCACGAAGATGCTGGAAAACCAGTCTTTTAAAGTGAGACAGATTGTATAAGTATGGAAACACAGAAGAAGGCAGAGCACTCCACAGTTTGGCTGTGTGAGGAAAGAAGGAGGTACTATAACGGGTTATTCTCGTGTGACCGACATCCAGAGAGAAACGGTGGGCACCGCGGGCAAGATGTGTGTTACGAGCCCACGGCCTTGCCGGCGGTACACAGGATGCCAAATCCACCGAACATTGCCGGTAAAAGTACCTGTAAAAGAGAGAGAGAGAAGCAACATTGCGGCGAAGAGAAAAGGAAGAGAGATTATCGACTAAAGGAGGAGAGTTAATAAGACGAAACGCATTTAACCACTGAACTTCGGGCTGATCAGTACCCATGCGGGTATATTCAGGAACATTTAAAAACCAATAAAAAACAAAAATTTCTTATCTTACAAACTGGCCATGCATGATATAAACAGGAAATGCAGTAAATACATGTCCTTACCACATATTGGCAACACAGGGGTTAGGAAGAGTTGAGAATGTTTGTGAAGTGGCATGTTTGTGATGCAGTAGTAAAGCTTTAAACACTACTGATTTGTAAGCAGTATGAGGTACAAGACGCTGGTTTTACTATGGTACAGGGTGATCTCATCATATGCGCATTCTTTATATGAGAATTCGATGATACGAGGTTTAGGAATTTGCACCTTATATTCACTATACGAGTGATATTGTTCGATGAAACGAGAAGTGAATATGGCAGTTTACCTAGCTGAGTAGGCAGAACAAGCAGTAATGTTGTCTGTGACGTCTCTCGTGACATAGAGGCACAGAGACATGTTTGTGAGCCACTCAGCCAGTCCGCACACCCCTCCCCAACATCCCTACCATCCTCCCCCCAGCCACCCTCTCCCTTCTTGCAGTATGTAAATCTGCTACCCGAGTTTGTCCGCTCGCACTGAATCGCATTTATTTACTGTCATCGCCATACTGTGTACTGTGCTGCCTAAGCATAATGCTGCCATACTTTGGAACTTGTTTTAAAGGCATCCCAAACCTAGTGTAGTGCTACAGTCATGACTCCTAAGCATTCAACATGTTCATCCACCACTCCATTTTCTAAACATGCACGTGTACCTGTTTCTTTCTCAAAAAAGAAAGAGATAATTGATATGCATAAGTGAGGTAAACGGGTATCCAATATTTGCCATGTCAGTTTTGTCGGTGCTCCGGAACGCATCTCTATTTAATTCATGTATTTTTCCCTCCGTTATACGAGTTTTCGTTATACTGTATGAGCAGACTTCAAGGAACGTATCTACTCGTATCATCGAGATCACCCTGTATGACTATTTATACTAATAACAATCATGATTACAACTCCAATAATTGATCGGGGATAGAAACACATGGTGAACTGATTCAAGTCCAAAGGCCAGATTTCTACATCACAAAAGCTGAGAAGCTACTAAGAAGAGACTGGGAGGCTTTCATGTGTGAGTGAAAAATAAATACCTACTTGGCAACATAATATAGCCAAGCCCGCCCTTTTTATTACAAATAGGCCCGCAAAATATCAAAACGTCATATGACGTGACCCAAAGCTCTACAGACACACATGAGAAGACATGAGCTGAAGCCTATGTGTTAAACAAAGTCTAAAGTGCACCTTCTTAAAACTATTGGGTATTACAATTTTTATATTGGAGAGTAGTTTGAAAATTAATTGAATTTGAAAACTATTAAAATTTAAAGGTTTTCAAAATATATTGCAATCTTGTCTTGGTTACAATTGGAAAGGGATCACTTGAATAGACAATGCACTGACATTGTCAGTGTCATAAATAATTTAGTTATGTGTGAAAAATTTGTGAATACTGTATTGCTACTGTATGTGTATGAAGGTTGTTAGGCCTGCAGTTGAAAATTGCTTTGTAGGAATTGATATTGCCTCAACACTAGTATTGTACCTGTAATCCATAACCCCTCCCTCAAATCTCAGTTGTTTAATGTAATGGATAAAAATCACACTATAGGACATATTCTGGTATAGTATTACTGTTTTTGTTAATGATCCCCACTTTGTTTTTTTGTTTTCTCACATTAACCCCATTATGAAAATGGTTAAGATTTGGATCATCTGATCCTAGAATGTAACATTTTATAAAACTTAGATCAGATATCATATTGTAGGCTGAATATAGTACAGGTAGTACATACTGTATTGTATAATACTTACAGTATTATAAATTTTTCTTCTCCAAATATCAAGTTCAGTGGTGGGCCTATTATGAGCTTTTTAGCTAAGTTGGGTCATTGACCTGTCACTGAAGACATTATGGATCCCTGTTACTGATGATCCTTTATTCACAGGCTGTAACTTCATCAAGGTAGCCAAGGATACTGCTGATGGGCTGGGCATCACAGGCTGGATAAAAAACAATAAGACTGGTACTGTTGGTGGACGCCTCCAGGGACCCAAGGCCAGTGTAGACCAGATGTAAGTACTGTACCAAAAAACAGAGAGCAAAAAGAGAGGAAAATATTTCAAGCAATATATGTAAGGGAGGACAGGAAGGATTTGTAACTGTAAGATCTCAAGTTGGGCTATATTTTAGTAATTACATCATTTGTAATAACACATAGTAAATTATAGAAAATCTTACACCATTAAATGCTTAAAAGAATTTTCTAACAAAGAAAACTATTGTTAGTTTGAAAGTTATTGTATATAAAATGCCCAGTTCTAATTATTTAAAAGTTGATTGGCAATATGGTTATTTAACCATAAAATTTGCCTGATGACAAGAGGAACACACCATCAGGCAATCATAGCTAACCCATGCAAGATTGGAAAATAGCTGTGAGACTGATGATGATGATATTTCCCCTTGATTTTTTTATTCATAAATAAGACCTTTTGCACAAAATACCCTACAATACCAATATAACTTCACCCATTAACATTACATCCTTCACCCAAAAATTATACATGACACTATTCTGCTGCTCTACGGACGACTAAACCCCTCTCTCCCACCAGAGGACTTCAATCAATGTGTCCCCCAGGGGGCCCCAGACAAGTGATTTTTTTTTAGATTTCCAATAATTATTACGAAAAACAATCATCAGCATCAGGTCATTAGATATCTTACCTACAAAACTACAACATATAATTTAAATAAATAAAAAATACAAAAGGTATAATTCATTTCCCACTACCGTAAAAATATGAATACTGTACAGTATACGTACAGGTATTTATGTGGCATTAATGCATATTGGTACACTTAGGAATGTGAAAATTAAAAGGAAAGGTTTTAGGAATTTACTTCGTGACCCATTAAAAAAACTTACAAAATATACTGTGGTTTTATAAACAACTAAGAATAACATTTGAAGATGCATTTGTGATCTATCAGCAGGATTCACAACCACAGAGTGATTTAGTCACTGTTAACTTATGCCCCACATGGCCTTTTAATTCTTTTGGCAACTACAATGGGCCAACTCTGGTATCAGGTGACCAATGGTGGCATTGGCAAGCCCCAAGCCACCACCATGTTAAGATGTTGCTGTGGGTACCAGTAAAATTGGTGTTTTTCCTATGTTTATCTTTCATGTTTGTCACAGACCCTCTTCCTCCTGTTTGTATTTCTCTGCCTTCTTTTTCCTCTTCTTGCCACATATTTTCCTACCCCTTGACTAAGGTCTTCAGGCATCAGGATCCTCACAGTAACATTGAGCTAAGGTATATACTGCACCAGTACTGATCTTTGACTTTTTATCCACACTTAAAACCCACTAGTTTGTACTGTAGTGTTTGATATTGAGTTCTATGAGATTTGTTATACAGTAGTTATTCTCTGGTTTGCCAATATTTTATGATTTAGAAGATCACTTAAATTGAAAAGTTTACTTTTTCTAGGTAACAGTAATTTTTATCACGGCTCAATGTTAGTGGATATCATGAACATGTAATGTTTGCATATAAAATAAACAAGCTTTCATTGACAGCCATGAAGGCAATCAATTAACCACAACTGTGCAATATAACTTTTCCTGGATGAGTCATCTTACTGGCATGTCTTGGAGACTGCTCTTGCCAACTGTCTGCCTCACCCTGAGATATGCTGCCAATTATCAGTCTTGCACCCAGTGTAAATGGCAATAAGAATGTTATCAAAGCATTTGCCAACAGCTAAAGTTACTTGGCGACAATATTGTCTTTCAAACATTTGCGGAGTGTATTTTTTTATTAAGTAATGATTCTTTTACCTCAATGAATACGAGTTAACTATATATATATACTGTATATATATATATATATATATATATATATATATATATATATATATATATATATATATATACAGTATTAATAATTTAGTCAATACTGTACTTCATTATTAACATTTATTATGGTTTACACTTAGCTATGTAAATTTTATTGAAGTGAAGCAAACATTTCAACCATTCAGATAATCCCTAGGGTTTAACTTAATGTAAACTTACAAAATGTTAACTTTTGCTTAGTGAAAAGTACAGTACAGTACTAATCATAATTTTTAATTCACCTCCAAATAGTAAAGGTTTAATGAAACCTGGATCTGAAATGAACAAATAACTTCATTAAAGGGCAGGACTTAAAATTTTGGAATACCGAGGATACAATGTTACAATTTCTGTACATTCCACTGAATTCTAACGCATCCTAAGCGTGCAGCTGAAAAGTTCAAAGTCTGCCATGTTTTGGTCTGATATACTATAGGTAGGTTAATATGTCACAGGAAATGATTATTCAACAAAGAATAAAATACAGTACTGTATAGGTTTTACAATTACAGGGGGTCTCCAACTTACAAATGCAGTTACACTTGAAATTACAGTACAGTACAGTATTTTATTTACCTGATGACTTATGTTTTACTTTCATTTACTGTATTTTGCCATTCTATTTCTTTTGCATTAAATTAAGTGATTTTAGATGTATATATGGGCTTAGGCTATGATATACAGTATAACTCCGCTTTACGCGGTCAATTGAACCCACGGAGGCCCGCGGGAAACGTGTAAAGTGAACAACAGAACATATGGGATTAATTGAAATAGAGACTGGGCCGACCCCCAAACTCCACTTTTTCAGACACAATACCTACGTTGTAGTAAAAATAACATCTTAATTTTATGATGGTATGCACACACAATTAATAATTAAAAGAAATATCAATAATATTAGGTTTTTTTAAAAATTACATTAGTAGAAAAGATGGCTGGGCACACGGGGATGGAGGGTTGGTTCCGAGGCAGAGGGCAGATTATTGGCCCTCACCAGTATCACTTGTATCAATTGTATCACTATCCACCACAGAGGCTTGCAGGGCCTCTTTGTCAAACCCCTCAAAGTCCATATCCTCACTATCACTATCACTGACTTGGGCCGGCTGTGGTGGGTGGCGGGTGGCGGGTGAAGAACTCGGTAATATTTTGATGACTGGGCTACCTTGTGTGCACCCTGCCTGCGCCGCTTCCCGCGTATATGAGTAGATGCACCGCATAAAGCGGGAATTCCGGTTCTGGCGGGCTACTGTGTAAATGTAGAAACGCGTAAAGCGGGGTATTACTGTAGTGGGATTTTAAACATCGTTCTTTTCTATTTTTAATTTATTTCTATTCTTATGTTTTTGCCCCTTTGTGGAATGTTCGACCTGCTCCTGGGTGGGCTAATTCCCGTATAAAAAAAATAGAAAAGTATGGTGTGCACATAGCATGTGTTCCAATTTACATACAAATCCTACTTAAGAACGTCCTTAGAACCCGTTCGTAACCCAGGGACCCCTGTACAGTACTGTGCAGAACTCGGAATCTACCGGGTAGTCAAATGCAATAAATGGAGATGTTCCCAAACAGTCAGTTCAAGCAGTGAACTGTGGCAGGCAAAGGGAGCGGTATAGTATGGTATTTTTTCTTACTTCCTTTGTTTAGTAGCGGCAACCATTCTAAATTTTTTCACCATTAGGCAGAGGCCAATTATCACATTAGTACAGTATTACCAGATAGACTGAGAAAATATAGAGTGAACTTACCAAGTTATCAACACTAAATTCCAAGTACAGTACTGTATATTGAATAAAACTCACAGGAAAAGGAGACACAGATGCACCTTAACATTTTCTGCTTTCCTTACATAAAATGTTATCATTAATATACTGTACAGTGGTCCCTCGGTTAACGAGCGCCTCGGTTAACGAGTTACCTTCCATAAGCTTTTTAACTTCGGTTAACGAGCAATCCCTCGATTAACGAGTTTCTTACCAGCCGACCTGAACATGTTTTCGCTTGCATTTGGCGGTCCACCAGCTGTAGTATTAGTCCGCCAATACAGTAATCGGTTCTAGGGCTTAAATTCCTTACCATTTTAGGAAATATCAAGAAGTTTATACTATTCAATAATTTTAAAATTTTATTATTAAATTTTTTAGTCATTTTAACAATTATTGAACATAATTGAAGGTAATGAAACTAGTTTTATGCGCACCATCCAGCCTCTCAACACACCATACAGGCGTCAGTCTTTGTGTCTTTTCAGTGGAGGTAACATCTTGCTTGAGACTCTCTTCAACTAAACGCTTTTTTTTTGTGTTTACAAGCAAATTATTGGTAATTTTGAAATTTATTTTACATATTGACAATATATAATGCAGTGCAGTGCTGATTTAAAGAAAATAATCTTGAATTACACCAAGAGAACTAAAATTTAATGGGTGAAATGGCGCCATGGGGTGACTTCTCTTCCTCCCCAATGCCTTCTCTTCTCCCTTCTCCACCCCCATTCTAATTCCCATCATCATCATCATCCAGGAGCCTTCTACATACACACCTCAAAGTAAGTGTACTTTTCTTCCTTTTTTGTTGACTTTAGTCAATTTTCGGTGAGCTGGAACCAATTACCCAAAAACCCATTGAAACAATGGTTTCGGTTAACGAGCAACCTTCTGGAACGGATTGTGCTCGTTAACCAAGGGACCACTGTACAAGTAAATAAATTAGGACATTATACTTGCTTGATGCATGAAATGAAAGGGCAATAGATTAAAGTTGTAGAAAGCTTAAAGCTTTTTACAGAATAAGCTTGAGTTTCTGAAATGACTTGCTGGCACTGCCCCATTGTATAACATGGTAGACTGACTTATGGCCACAACATCAATAACATTATTGGCTCAAGTTTTCAATCCTCATGACTGGGAGCAGGTTGACTCTGGCCTCATTGTCACATCACAGACAGGATGTAAAGATCTTGTTGATCTCTTTGATGATGACCTGAGTTAACGAGTGACACACAAGCAGGTTTTCCTCTCGAAATAAGCTGATGTGGAAAAAATGCCATATGTACTTTTATACCATATTGAACCATTAAAAAATATCATACTGTAATTTTGAACTGTACTTATGGCCAAAAAATTTCAGTACCATACTGCCACCATTGGTGGCAGAGTGACCTGTCCCACTACAGACATTAGTGTCAGTGTAAGGATTCATAACCTTCCCACCATGACTTACATTATCTCAGCATGTGTGAAATCTAAAATTAATAGAGGTGACTAGTTTTACTTCATATTAATGAGATCACTTGTAAGTATGGCATTTCTGCATTCAAATACCATTAATCATAGGGTTTTAGGCAATTTGTTACCTTTTTGTGGCTGAGAAATCCATTGTACTGGATACTTAAACTCCTGATCTCTTTAACACCCAACACAAAAATGTCCTAAAGTCCTCCTGTTTGCACTATTTTAATGGTGTGCATCTTGATCCGAAATCATAAACCAAGAACCCAGCAATCACCATGTAAAAAGAAGACTACAGTATCATCAATACAATGAGCTTACACTCTGAAATGGAGGGGTACCTAGTTCCCTCTCAAACTCAACAATCCTACATGTTTTCTACTAATTTTGAAGTGACTACATATACTCCATATAAATGACATACAGTACAATTTTGAATTGTTGAAAACAATGTCAGGGCTCTCATACTGCATTCATTAATGCTTCGGTTGGAGGGCAAGTTACTTCAGATAAAAATTTAAACTTCAAAATTTCTGAAATCTCAACTAGTACTCCTTGTTGAGTTATGTAGTGTCTAACGTCTTACAGGATCCACCATTAAATAATGTTATCATCCTAAAATATTGATTACATCTTACAGGGTGAAGTGGCTAAGTGAAGAAGGTACTCCTGGGTGTCAAATTGAACGCTGCCAACTTAGCAACCAACAGGCCATCATACGCCCTGACTATCCTAAGTTCAGCCTTAAATTCTAAATTCTTAGTTTATTAAAAGTCTTGCAAACACTACTTTCAGCCTATATTAAAATTGGTAAATTATTATTTTAACCGAGCCATTATATACTATATTACAAGGACATTTCATCCATCAGTAAGTTTTTCAGTTCATCATGTGCTGTAGCCAATGTTTGACCACCTTGTTCATTTTCCAAGTGACTATGAATCATGACAATGGAAGAACATTAAATAAACTATTGCTACTTTTATTTGATTGGAGACAAGATACCAAAGACAATCCAGTCTATCATGGATTTGGTTCAGTTCAAATATTTGTTAATTCCATATCTACAGTGCAGTTATTAATAAAAACTTATTTTTTATAAGTAAAGTTTATAATTGAAATGTAAAACAGTTTATTTAAATCATGTTAAATATTAATATCAGGATATTATCAGTATTTTACCAGGTGAACATAATTTTTTCAAATAAATTATGTCACTGCACTAGTACAGTATTTCCCAGGACTGTATAGCACATTTTATTTTATTTTAATCATATGACAGCAAGGGTTCAAACCATATAGTGCACTAAACTGTACTTGTAATCATAATGACTGTTTTAGATCACTTGGAATACCATGCTGAGTACAGTATGTGAATGCAAATTAGTTTGGTAAACGAAAAATTGGACAGTTTATTTGGGGAAACTTGAAATTATATAGAAGGCATTTAGTTTAAAATAAATTATATTAGATGGTTTTCTTTGAAAAGACAGTTTTTTTAGGGCTCTTGATTTGTCAGCATATTTTGTTTGGGGATATAATAAAAAAAATATTTTTTAAGTTTACATTTTCAAGTAATAAAGTGAACTGACCATCTATATTTTAACCTATAAATTTTCGAATCACATTTGACCTGTGTTGTGGCTCAACAATTGACTACTATAATCATGTTTCTATGTGCCCACTACCATTACCAACTGTTTAAGTCTATTTAATTTCAGCATACAGTACCATCCAATGATTTAATTCAGGTTGTATAATATAAAAAGTAATGTGTATTTCGTAATTTACTACTGCTCTATCATGTATGAGAACTCATTATTCTCCATCACACTTTTTGGGAGTGCCATGAGATATGTGATTTATTTCATATTGTATAACAATGTTTTCCTTGGTAACATTTGTGTTCATTTTATCATTTATCGTGTTGTCATTCCTAGGTTAGGCATTACTTGTCAATAGCTAATTTAGGTTTGAATTCCAAAGCTTAATACAAGGATGAGTAACAATAAATTACGATCTTCATACATGAATTATACATGTGAATGGACATACAGTACTGAAAAAATGCTGGTGACAACAATACAAGTTAAAAAACACATTAAAAGACCTTTATCTGTACAGTACCAGAGATTGTGGTATGTTTCAGAATGTTTAAAATTCTCAAGATGGTATTCTTAAGAATTTTCAACATTGCTCTTCACTAAATGTTAAAACTAATCACCAGTGATGTCTTCTTGATCATCCACTTTATTGCTCCTCTTTGTGTGCAGCTTTAGGAGTACAACTTAGATAGTTGTGTTCTGTAGTAGCTTTGTGTTGGGGAATGCAGCATCTTACAATCCCTCCAGATGAATTTGTCTACTCTTTTCATTCTTCAAAGTGAAATTCTTTTACAGGACACCAAACTTTGAAACCAATACAGAATGGAGCAAATATTATAACTAATGTTCTTTTTATACATAGCATAAAAAGTATTACAAAATTATGAAAAAAATATATTAGGCAAGTATAATTTATCATCAATGAAGCCTAAATAGTTCACCAATTAGCTAAACTGTAGCAAAAACTTGTTTCCTAAGCTTATGAAAATTTATGTGCCATTAAAGAATGAGCATTTGAATTTCCTAAACAATAATTAATGTTCTTAAATATCAAAAACAAAACCTACCTTCAAGTTTAGATGAGTTTCAATTCACATATCCACCAAACTTTCACTGCTGTTATCTTAACTTACTCACTTCTCTCATGCCACTCTGATTGCACCATCATCACAATATAAATTATATTATCTTTGTTGCGCACACGAACAAATTCCGCCAATCTGTTCTTCCATGGTGATGAATGTAGACATCTGTCATGGGAGTTTGTAAGACTGCAAGTTTTGTGTTTGTCAAATATTTATTTTTGGTTTATAAAATAAAGATTTCACCTCAGAAAAGTATTTTCATCCTTTCTAATTGTTTAACTAAAATAACACACACTATTTAAACTGACAATTAACAAGTAGGCCTACTTAAACAGTATCAAAATAAAATAACTTGGGCTAAAGAAGAGAAATTAAGTTAAACATGCAATAATGCAATAATGGCAGTGCTATTGGTGAACCTGCAACAAGACAATGAACCATACAATATATGTTTGCACAAGAAATTGTCTTCTCACATTTGTAAGAAATAACCTCAACACATTAATCCATAGCCTCTTATGAACAAGAATCTGTATATATATATATATATATATATATATATATATATATATATATATATATATATATATATATATATATATATATATATATATATATATATATATATATATATATATATATATACAAGTAGAACCTCGATAAATCAGACCAATTGGGACAGACCCCAGTCCGAAAAAATAAAATAAAATAAAATAAATATACAGTCGGCTCTCATATTTGGACGACACCTATTTAGACTGTAAAAACCTCGCGAAATTCAAATCGTCCAAATTTAAATACAACCTCCTATGGAGAAAATTAATTTGAGTCTGGTACTTTCGATGTTTGGCTAAATTTTGCCTTATTTACCCTACTTTTTTGGTGAATTACTACCTGTAATAAAGCAACATCCTAATAAACCAACGAAAATAACACAGATAAAGTTAAATAAAAACTAAAAACACAGAAAAAGTTTTTATGTTCTACAACTTCAGCTAGAGTTGAACCTGATGACTTGGCAACTTTGTCATCCGAGTAAAAACACACACAACAACATTGGCTGTCCGTATGCTTTCAACTTTACCACCACTGGTGGGTAGAATTTTGTTTTAAATTCAGCAACATTAATTAAAATACATATGAACAGTAAATAAGTGCTGCTTTTATTTTCTTATGTAGAGTAATGACGATATTTTTTCAAATGTGCACACTTACATACGCGATTTCTTTATGGTTCTTTATTAATATTTTATTTTCAATTTTGTTTTTATTTTCAATTTCATTTACTATGAATAATTATTATTATTATTACATTTTCGCCACCCAGGCCCTGATGTGGGTCAGTGACCTGTGCCCGAGTGGGCTAATCCCCGTGTAAAAAAAAAAATTCATCCATACAAATATACATACATAAATAATGTACATATATACACATACAATACATATACATACTGTACATATATACACATACAGGCATCCCCCGCGTTACGGAACCCCGGGTTGCGGAATTTCGCTCTTACGGAATTTGTAAATTACGACCAATAATTTCGCGATACGGCCTGTAAATCTGCCCTTACGGAAATTGGGGTAAAAAAAAAAAAAAAAAACTAATATAAAATTAAATTTTTTTTTTTAAAAATTATAATTTGTTTGGTGTGGATTTCTTGGTGTTTGCTACCGCTAAGCGTGGCATCGCAACGCGGAGTCACTCCATTGTTTACATCCAGTGTGCGCGCATGTTTCTCGCCCAAGCAGTTGGATTTAACTTTTACAAACATACAGTAAGTACAGTACTGTACAGTGCATTACCCTTATTCAAGATGACTGGAAAGAGGCCATCAAGTGGAAGTGACTGCAGTAGTGCAAAAAGAAGCCGCAAAGGCATTACATCGGATATTAAACTTGATATTTTAAGAAGGTATATCATAAATTATTTAATGTACTATATTGTATGTGTTTATAAATGTTTATTTTCATTCATAAAAGTGCTTGCATTACTTTTTGGGGGCCGAAAAAAATTCCTTAGGAAAACATCTCCAGTTTTATAATAGAAGTCAATATGAAAATAGGTTTCGTGTTACGGAATTTCGCGATACGGTCAATTTTCCAGGGACGCAACCCTTCCGTAACGCAGGGAATGCCTGTACTGCACATACATATATGCACATACATACAAATATACACATACATACATGCATATATATATACACATACATACATGCATACATATATACACATACATACATGCATACATATATACACATACATGCATATATACACATACATAAATATATACACCCTGGAAATGCCATCCCTCAGTGACCTCCACTACCATGCACTAGCAGGGTTTGGCAGTGGACTACTGCACCATCCTCATCATCCCCACCTACTGCCACCGGCAGTCCCCCGCCCAGTCCACCACTACAACAATATTCAGTCCATAAGAGCCCGCACTGATAGATATAAGAACAGCACCATCCCATCTACTGTTAAAATAATAAACAGCTCCTGATTTATGTACTGTAAAGCCCTGTAAATGTATTGAATGTATATTATTATGTCTAAATCACATGTAAGTTTGTATATTTTCAGCCACCGGCTGCAACTCTATTAATAAACCGTTTATTATTATTATTATTATTATTATCACACACACATACATATATACTGTATGTGTATATATATATATATGTGTAAAGTAATTGTATTATAGCTGCAACATTCAAGATCCATTGAGAGTGATGTTGAAAGGTTCAACTATAAAGTATTTATTTTTTGTGAAATTGTCAAATAAGTCAAGTGTTGGGGTAACCAATAGAGGTGAGAATTTTTTTCCATCCTATGAGAGACTGATGGCCAAACTAAGGAAGTTAATGGACTTATATTCAGGAAAAACGATTTACTGTATGTGTTTTTTTGTGCACTGGGGGGGGTTCATCGCCAAATCAGTCTACCGCAGTTATCGGGTTAAATCTAAGTGAAACTAAAGTACAGTTACTATTCAATCTTTTTTTCAGCACCTTGGGATTGAAAGGACTGTGACTTGTTAAATTTTGTTAAGTACAAAAACCCTAATCCAACATAAAACATATTCAATGTACAATAATTGCTAGAACATCAAATAAAATTTACCATAACTGTATTAGATAAAATTAAAATATACAAAAGGTACAGTAAAATGATCATTATACTGAGAAAGAAAACATGAAAAGTACCATAGATACTGTACACAACAGTTTACACTAAAATAGAATGAAGGAAAATCCTTTCTCACTCATATGTAGCTTAAATACATTATGTACTCTTTCATACTTAACAATTTAAACACAAGAAATTGTATTAATGTAAACCACATCACATTACTGATCAAAACAGCTGCCAGCTGTGAAGTGATGAAAGTGGTTGCCTACAATATGGGTGGTGGAAGGCAAATTGCTTCAGTTTTAAAATAGCCAAGAGCTGATCCTAATGTAATTGCCTGTTTACTGCTTCATTTTTTTTAGTTATATATTTCTTTGGGAAGAGGAAATATCACAAAATTTTGACTTATTACTTTCATGGCAAATTATCACAAGATGCAATATAATGGATAGCTACTGCATTTGAAAACCAGTCTAACAAGCTTTTTAATTTTTACCCTTCCTATCATGATTTTTTCATCATCCAACTACTGTATAATATTCAAGAACACAACTCCAATATATAACCTAGATCTATGAAAGCATACAGCATAACTAATGTAGAGGTATTTAAAAGTATTTATAGTAAGGGACCTTTCTCCAGTACTGGATGTAAACCACTCAAAAGTTATTTCATATGATATGTGCAGCATAATAGGATGTGCCCACAATTAGTAGTTTCTCATCACAATATTCATAAGACAATCACACTTCAAAGTTTCAATTATCACTTGCCAATACCTGTATCTCCAAACTGGTTTAATTTATTTAATCAATAAAAACCAGTGGTGAATATTCTTGTCAATGCTTTACAGTACAGTACTGTATATTATTAACCTATAATAAAACTGATTTTTAAAAATCAGCTTCATAATCCAGTAATATTCACACCCTTTCAAACTTATCCAACAAACATGGAAAAGTGTGCACTTTCTTAAGTAGATGAAGTAAATCACAGGCCTGCATGAGAGTTATGAATGTAGTTTGCTGAAACCTGTAGATTGAAAACTTTGCTTGGCTTGTTATGGAGCAAATCATACGAGCTTCTTCAATTTCTTACACAATAAATGTGACTTATGTCTGTATAACATATAAGCCTGAAATTACAACTGGCTTAACTAGAAGCCAAGTGTGAATTTCAATCTTAAATAGTGAAAAAAGCACAATAATAGGCTAGTCCCTTTCTTACAAATGGGCTCAATTCATTTGCAATTTGTTCAAGTCACGGGCATTTTTTGGTCTCAAAAACTTCTTAAACCATTCAATATGGGATGCTACTTTTAATATTTGGCTAATGCTAGACGATTTTATTCAGCACAGAGACACACCTTGTACCAAAGCGCCAATAAGCTATCTCCACCAATCCCTTCATATGAGACGCCACTTTTAATATTTTATTTAGCTAATGCTAAACAATTTTATTCAGCAAAGAGAGACCCCCATACCCAAGGTGTTAAGCTTTAGTAAAGATGGCATTTTCCTCTTTATACAGTACAGTATTCAAAATTTAAGGTGTAACCAATAATTTTTAGTATCAATCTGTAGAAGTCATGTTTTGGACTGATCACCAGACAACAATAATTGTGCACCCTATGCTAACCCTTTCGCTTCCTATTTTGGGTATAAAAATAATTTGGCATGTTACATAGAAAAACCCACATACCAGAAATTTTAAAATTTACTTTCTTACGATTTGGTAAAACTACAGGTTGGCTTATGTAGGTTCATCCAGACTAGTGACGATTGTGTTTAAGTACATGTTGTCATGGATTCATCAATGCGATATGCAATATATTTGTAATTAATATATTCATTCAACCAAGTTTATAATACTTAATGGTTTTACAAAATTATTAACTTTATAAATGGTTGAAAAATTAAAGTATGCCTTCAGACTTACTTTGGCTAATTAAAAAATATAAACAGCTTCCTGTATAAAAGAGAAAGAAAGACAAGTTCTGTGGAAGCCATATTATTGAATGCTACAGCTAACCCCTTCTCCCTAGGAAGAAACTACTGTACTTCAGACAGTGAAAGATCCTGTACTGTACCTAGATTATGGTACTGTATATCAAACATCCAAAACCATTCTTTAGTCTTCAAAAGGAGAGAGTACTGAGGTAAAGAACCATGAAGGAAACCAAATTTGTTTTTGGTTAAAGCCTCAGTTAACTTCCATTGCACAATCAACAGATAATTGAGGTAAATATGTCATTTTATTCCCACACTTAGCCTTTGTGAATTTAACCACTAAGTTTGTGTCTATAACAAATAATATGATTGTAGGCCTAAGTTAATGGTAATTGGTTTTTTAAACTCCATCTGACTTAAAACCATTTTCTGAGTTATAGTATGGCATACATTAAATTCTTGACTATCATATTCCAGGTTATGCAGTACAACCACAGTTACCATATTTCTGGTTATTAACTATATTCACAACTAATATAATCCTGCTTTTTGCAATACATTCATATCTTCCATACTTTAAATTACATGCAGTAGCTCAAGCATACAGTAATTCTAGTTACATTGTACAGTATACCTACAGTTCTCACCTTCCTAAATATTACTAAATGTCACCATGTCTTTAGTCATACCCATGGTTACCCAAATCTGAGTTGGTATATAAAAGACGGTTAAATATAAATTGTAAAAAATGCTACTAACCCAAATAAGCTTTAAATCTTCAGCTGATAAAGTTATCACCAACCAAAAAGCATATCCCATAAAGCCTGATGAGAACCTTTTGGTTTGGGGGTGATAATAATCAAACAGTTCAACCCATTGCATACTCATAACTACAGTATTACAATGTTTACTCTCTTCATAATCACCTTATGTACAATTTACTATACATATTAAACTTAGTTATACAAATAAGATATTATCATATTGTGATATTCAGGTAAGGTTAAGAACACTAGAAATTCAACTACTATACGTCCAGAAACTTGTCGCCCTTACTCAAACATTACAAAATTTACTCTAAATTTGTAAACCTAATATTTTATCTAAACATACCACCATGACACACTTCTGACTGCTAAGAAGTTTGTTAGTCTGGGGCAACGTTAAGACATCTGAGTGAAAATATCTAGGCACAATGTAGCAGGAATAGGTGTGCCCCAAAATTTTGAGCTTTGACTCTGCAATTCAGATCATTACAAGCCACTATAATTAGTTCTAATTACTAATTATCACAGAAACATCCTAAAAATTATGTTGGCAAATACTGTATTAATGAGATCTATCCTATACAATCAAAATTCTAATTTGAAATCCAAAGAATAAATTTTGGTATAGTACTATAAAGATTTTCATCTCAAGTTTTTCCCACTTAATACAAAGTGGCAAGTGTAAGTCATAATCTCTAACCTTATATGAAACTTAAAACCCATTTGGTAAACTAACACAATTCTATCACTATACTGTATAAAATTGTTTGCAATCAAAATTGGACACTATATATGTTGAATTTTTATTACAGGGTATTATTATAATATAATAACAATTACTATTTTTTTTTACTGTGATTTAATTTTAATTCTTCATTTCACCACTTATCAGCTTAATAGGGGCTTGGGTAGTTGGTCTGTTTTTCATTACTCTTTTATGATCTTCATTGTCCAGTGTTAGTACAGCATATACAGGAGAAAACTGGGGTGCCCAGAGAAAACCTGCCATGTTTTGAGTTCAAGCTGAACAACACCTTTTTCACATCTGTCATAGGATGGGAAATGAAACCAGGACACATAGGTGAGAAGCATGTCCATTACCGCTGTTACACCAACACCCCAAGTACTCCACATGCTAGTATATCTAAAACAAATGAACCCACCACTACACTACAGTATACTTACATGAATTATGATGAAGACTGTACAATGAAGTATGAGGCTGGTCTTAATTCATATAAACAGAGAAGTAAAAGACAGTAATTAAAAAAAATTGTACAGTAATTATAGTAAGCATAAGTATAAAAAAAGGAAATAATTGGAGAATAAATGCAATATAAGAAGTTGTGGCTGTGCCAGTGATTGTGTAGGGTGTTAAGTTTCACTTCTCCCATGTTGGTAGAGTTTCCATGGTGATAAAGGACTCAATAGTCTATCAAAAAAATAAAATTTTGTGTTGAGCAACACTAACATTTCATTGTAATCACAAAATACCTGTAAATAACAACTGTTCATGTGCATCTATAATTCCTTCATCTGTTTAGGTCTTTTGTCAAGGTTGGTTTTATGAGAAATATTATGATTATTCAACTGAATCATGAGCCTGACAAAACAAGAGAAATCTTTGAGAATGGTTTTTGTTATATCTGAAATCTTTATGAGTTACAGTTTTTTGTCATTTTAATATTAAAATCTAAAAAAATAAATAGAATACAGTATATCAAAAGAATTTTATACATAATCTAACACTTTGTTTTGGCGCAACTCACTTTACTGAAGTTTGGTCTGTTTAGGACTTTGCAAATATAATTGCCAGCATCAATTAACCTATCTAAATCAACACCAGTCTCTATCTGTAATCCATTAAGCATGTACACAACATCTTCAGTAGCTACATTACCAGAAGCTCCTTGGGCATATGGGCAACCTCCAAGTCCTGCCACGGAGGCATCCACTACACTAATTCCCATCTGAAATAAGATCACATGTTAAACTACACTAAGGTATGTTGTACCACATGTTGAATTTAAACAAAAAAAATAATGGAATTCAAACTCAAGAACTTCAGACAAAGTTCTATATTAATGTCATTGTTAAGACCTGGAAGTAAAAGAGAAGTCTTGCACCAACCCTGCCCCTTACACTCAGCCCTAAAAAAAAAAAAAAAAAAAAAAAAAAAAAAAAAAGAAAGATATATATATATATATATATATATATATATATATATATATATATATATATATATATATATATATATATATATATATATATATATATATATATATATATATATATATATATTAATGAATGTGGCTGGTGTGAGAAGTGTGAGGCTGTATGACAGCGAAACACGGACAGTTAAAGAAGATGACATTAGTAGATATGAGTAAGCTGAAGTGAGAATGGTGAGGTGGATGTGTAATGTGTAACTGAAAAACAGGAGGCCCTGTTCAGCACTAAGAGGGCAACTGGGCATTGTGATATTGATGAAGTTCTGTATAGATGTTGGCTGAGATGGTTTAGGCATGTGAAGTGAATGGATGAAATCAATTGGGTCAAGAGGTGAAAATAGGTCCCATGAGCATGACTGCCCAATTCAGGACAGTGTGGATACAGCACACTGTATACTAAGCCTTTGGTACAAAAGGAGGCTGTATGGGTGGTACTGCAATCGACCACATTCACTTCCCCGGGTTGTAAATTTGGGTACCCATTTACAGCTGGGTGAACTAGGAGTACCTGGAAATTGAACCACCAACCCATGGAACTGGCGGCAAATGCTGTACCTGCTCGCCCGCTGCACTCTGGGTTAAGAGGTGCACGAGACTAAGTGTGGAAGGGAATAAAGCCAGGGATAGGCCAGGAATGGCATGAAGAGAGGTTGTATGAAATGACATTTGAGTTTGGTACATGACAAGAAAGACCATGCAACATGGAGAGCTGCCATCAGGTAACTACAGCAAACCCATGCAAGTGTGGAAAATGGCCATAAAACATTGATGATAATGATGATTACAAATTGTACAATGCAGTATACCATTTTTTTGTAAGCTTTATTATCTCCAAAATTATGGCAATATCTCTATTCTTGTACTTAAGTTACTGTATAAATAATGTTGAGTCCTGTTGAGCATAGGATTGTCGTGTTTATTAACTCAAAGAGCTGCAACATGCTAGTCGAGTGATTTGCTCTTAAGGCTGTGACATGCCAATAAGTTGTCCAAATTTTGTGTCAATCTTTAAAATTACATGCCAAGTGATGCATTTATAGATTTTCTCATAGGCCTCTTGAAATGTTAGCCTGTTTACATGGCTTTGCTGTAGTTCCTTCATGGGTACTGCAGTAAGAGCAATGTCAGCAAAGACTACAGTGCAGGAGTGCTGGGCCCAAAGAGTACCATTAAAAAAAAAAAAAAAAAAAAAATGCAGGAACTGACACATCTCTCAACTGCTGCCACACACAACCCTCTAAGCCAGAGCTTGTCTGACTTATGGGGGGGGTTCCAACTCACAGATCACCGACTTAGAGGGCTCTTACTGGGCTTAAACACTTAACATTTAATCTAACCTATAATAATATAATTTAAGTACAGTACCTGTATTTAAATAATATTTTTATGAAACTTTTTTGATCAGATATTTACAAGACAAGACAGAACCTCATTCAGCATATGAACAACGTGAATTTTGCATGACATCAAATATCTAAACTACCTTCCTCTCCTATATCAATTATCTTTTCTGTCAGTAAATGTTAATTAATCTTCCAACTAATAACAAGGCTTTACAATTCTATCTCATCTGATTAGCTACAATTTTTTCAGATACTTATACTGTATAAAAAAAAAAAAAAAAAATATATATATATATATATATATATATATATATATATATATATATATATATATATATATATATATATATATATATATATATATATATATATATATATATATATATATATATATATATATATATATATATATATATATATATATATATATATATATATATATTTCATGTAAATCCACAATGAAAACGTGGATAAGATAAATCTTGATAAATACACGGAAAATGGAAACAACGGACACTGTTTCCATTTTCCGTATATATATATATATATATATATATATATATATATATATATATATATATATATATATATATATATATATATATATATATATATACAGTATATTTTTATATCTAAGATAAATATTTAATCACACAACTTATCTGTCACACCTAGACAGCTTTGCTTACCTGAAGAGCTGTTAGAATATTTGGCAAGGCTTGACCATAAGTGTCATGACAATGAACTGCCAGCACATCTGGTGGTAGAAGATTCATCACTTCTTCCAACATTCTGCGCATGCTGCCAGGAGTCCCCACGCCAATAGTGTCCCCCAAGGAGATCTCATAGCAGCCCATTTGGTACATTGTATATGCAACCTATTTAAATAAAAAATGTGAGATGTAAAACAATTAAAAGCTCCAGTCATACACTGCAACAAAGAAGAGTTTAAAATTATTATTTTTTTATTTTCCTAAATATTTAAATACAATAATCCGTACAAAGAGGATCCAGAAAATGTCACATTGAATGCAAATTATAATATATTTACCACACAAACCTTTTCATAATGTCTAACTCAATCCAAAATGAATTCTCCCAAAGCCCCCATGAGTCTGCATATTCTGTGACCACACCTTCCCTTTTAACATTATCTCATTTCCCATAAATCAGCTCTTACCTGCAAGGCTATCACTAAAATACGAAGCAAGGATACACGCGTAAAAAAAAAAAAAAAAATAAGAAAAAAATATTCTCAATCACCCTTAGTGCCATTTAGTACATCTTTCATAAAACAGATTATCTAGTAAAGTAGATTTTTGGTTGTTAAATAATTTACTGTACATTCATAACTTGGGTACTACTGAAACAAAAGTTGCAGGACATACTCATATACATAACAAATGTATCACCAATATTTTTCACTAGGCATTACTGTACATACTGAACCACAAAATTCAATATCATTATAAGCGACTCTAAATTACAGTTAGCATAAAGAAGGAAAACAAACTGCTTACAAAATTGTAAAGTGTGTTAAATACAACTGTATATAATGTTTTCCTTTGCATTTAAAATTTGTTTTTCTTTTTTACGGGGATTAGCCTACCCGGGCACAGGTCACTGACCCACATCGGGGCCTGGGGGGTAAAAATGTAGTAGTTGTAGTAGGTTGTACCTCTCTAGTCCGGCATTCTGTGGTCCGGAACGATTTTAGTTTGTCCAATAGGTAGATAGGCAGCTCTTTTTTGTTTTATCTGAATTATTATTATTATTACAGGAGTATTAAATTTTGCCCCTCAGGCCCTAATGTGGGTCAGTGACCTATTCGTTGGGGCTAATCCTTATAAAAAAAAAAGCAGCGAAATGGTTTGTTTACATCCGCCAGTTCGCTCTCCCTCTCTCTGTTTGTCTATACAGAGTACTACATTTAACCCTTCAATATATATGAGCAGTAAATAAGTGTTGCTTTCATATTCTTATGAAGAGTAATGATGATATATTTTCACATGTGAGCACTTACATACGCGCAGTCTCACTTTTTTTTTTCCATTAATGGTTAGCTACTTAAATTGTTCCATTTATTAACATTAAATAACATTACAGGTACTTCAAGCAACCATATTCATTTTTTACATTAATTTTACTACAGCTAAAATCAGGGTCTTATTTTCTTCAGTTTTATATGTAGAACCAATCAGTCACTGGTTTCGTAAGACTTTAACATAAACAATGCCGGCAGCCGTCTCGTCTCCTCTAATATTCCACGTATTATTAATAAATTGTATTGTTAATTTTGCACACACATACACACATTAATTCAATAAAAAGAAATTCAGAAACATTAATTAAAATATATATGAACAGTAAATAAGTGTTGCTTTCATATTCTTATGTAAAGTAATGACGATATGTTTTCATGTGTGCTCATGCGCACTTACATACGCGATCTCTCTTTTCTCTTTACCATTATCGTTAGCTACTTCTATTGTTCCATTTATTAACATTAAATAACATTACTTAAAACAACCATATTAATTTTACTACAGCTACAACCAAGGTCTTATTTTCTTCAGTTTTATATGTAGAACCAGTCAGTCACTGGTTTTGTAATCAACAAAAACAATGCTGTCATTTCTTCGTGTGTTTTAATATTCTACGTATTATTAATGAATTGTATTGCTCATTTTGCACACATAAACATTAATTCAATAAAAAAGACCTTCAGTAATAAACAATAATGAATGTTTTGTACATAAGAGAAATGACGCTGTTTACACGATTATGCACGTCGTCTGCACGTTGGCGGGCCGTTCAAACCCGTTGAAATTCAAGTTTCCGCCTTCAAAATTTTTATTTATTTATTTTTTTGTGTGTTCCAATAAAATACGTTAAGAATTAAAAACTCGTGAAATTTGAGAAGCTACTCTACGACATTTAACCCTTCAATATGTCTTCAAAGAGACCATGATGCAGAGAAAGTGGTGATAGTGCTTCCAGGCATAAGCACAAGTCACTATCTATCCAGGAAAAGGGTGAATTTCCATGGTCCGGCACCGGTCAGGTCCCGAGGTTGCCGGACTAGAGAAGTACAACCTGTAATAGTAGTGAGGAACAATATATGTATGTTGTGTTGTCAATAGTAAGAGAAACAATTGAGACCCTGCAATTGTGTGTAAATGAGGCAGAAAGATAGATCAGCAACCTGGGACTTGGTCACAATTTTCATGATGCCATATAGCAGCAGGGTCTGCCATTAGACAACACATTATGCTTCCAATATCTTCCCAGGCAGTAGTACCTCCCTGTTTGGTAGCTGCCTACTACCTACGACTAAGTATTCTTGTAAGAGGCAGAAAAACACTGAATTCCTATCTGCCTGTATAGTAAAGCAAAAACACAAAGGGCTGTTCAAGAAAAAACTATAACTCTTGAAGTATGACGATACGAAATTGGTTACTCAAGAAAAATTAATGCCCATAGTCACCTTAGCTACAGCCTTGGGATCAACAAGACCTTCATAGGGGCATCCACAAACACATGAGACATAACCTCTCACAGGAATCCCAAGTTTATCAGCTGCAGTCATTACATCCTGGAAGCGTGTGAGAGATTCTGCAATGCTACAATTAATATTTTTCTGGCTAAATGACTCGGATGCTGCCCCAAAGATGGCTACTTCCTCACAGCCTGCTGCAACCTGAAAACATGAGAAAACAATTACCATGAAGACTGTACATTCTGTAGACAATACATCACAAACATGCTGTATTTTTGTCAATAAAAAATATATATGAATTGAAATTGCATTTCATACAATACTAATACTGTACTGAATATGCACTGAAACGATTGGAACATTTATTAACAGAAGAGATTAAAAGGAATATTGATAACAATTTTGTTGTTATGTATGTGATACAAGCCAATATGAAGCAATATAGTATATGTATACATGTATAAGGCACAAAGAATCTTCCTACAGTAAAAGTCCAAAAATCCGGATGCCAGGAATCCGGACCACCCGAGAATCCGAACTTTTCGAAAACTCAAACTTTTTAAACTTAGCGGGCTTTTGTGGGTTACGTGAATGAATGGAGTTGCTTTAAAAAAATTAATTTACATAATTCTAATAATAAAAGTAATTGTAAATTATAGGTAGCTAATTTTGTTAGTTTTGTAATTAGCTTGAACTGAAATGTAAAATTTGAGGCACTATAAATCTTTTGTGTATGTGTGCATGCGTGAATGCCACAGCAACAACAAACGACCACGCGATCACCACTTTAAAACAAGCAATCAAACTGTGACAACGTATGTAATTTTGAGTCCTACTCTTTCCATGTACAGAGTACAAGCCCATAATATTGGCCCCTAAAGTAGATAAACTTCGTTGTGTGAAGAGAAAGAAGAACACATTGAAATTGAGTGACAAACTTGAAATAATTAAGAAACTAGAATGTGGTGTGAGCAATGCTGTTCTAATGGAAACATACGGCATTGGAAAGTCTATAATTTATGATATAAAAAAAGCAAATAATAAAATTCTAGAATTCACAGCTTCTTCTAAGCCTTACATTAAAATTGCTGAAAGAAAAAGTTTACATTGGCCCAAACTAGAAAATCTTGATAAAGTGTTGCACGAATGGTTTTTGTTAAAACGATCAGAGGGTATGGCAATTTCTGGGCCGATGCTTATTGCCAAAGCAAAGTCTCTTAAGGAGCAAATGAACATTGAATCAGAGTGCGCATTTAGTGATGGATGGCGTAAGAATTTCAAGACTTGTCATGGTATTAGACAGTTTGTTTACATTTTTGTCTAGTGTTGACTTTATTTTTCTTTAAAACTGCTAGTTTTGATAAATGAACCATGCTTTATTTGCGAATGAATAAACTATCAAAATGTACATGTTCATCTCTTCTTTATTCCTCCTTAAATTTTAACTTTAAAAGTACTGCCTGAGAATTTGGAAAATCCGGACCGACCCAATCCCCAAGCAGTCCGGATTTTTGGACTTGTACTGATTTATTGTTGAAATAATATACCCGTAACAGGAATAATATATCAAGGATGTTTATTATTATACATGCATGAAAGTAATACGTGAAATATGGTAAAACAAATTAAAAATAACAACTTTGCAGAAAAGAATGAAAACAAATGGTTACAGGAAACACTAAATAATGGTTTACACACAAGACACAAACTGAGCAAATAGGCAGATATAAAATACTGTTTATTGCATTGAGTAAGGGTAGGTCAACTGCGAGGAGGAGGGAAGTCTCTAGTTTTAACATATATGTAATTGAAAATATTTTCTTTATAATGTCGTTGATCAAAGAATTCTCTAATCATTAAACAGTATAGTGGAATATTATGACCTAGATAATCACTATTAATTCGTAGAGATAGTTTATTACCCCTGTAATAGTCTGTTACTTTATTCTGCTTAATTACAAGAGGTAGGTTTTAGATGAGCTTATAAGTTTCAGTTTATCTCTAATAATATGCAATACAGGGTGTAACAAAAGTCCAAAATCATAGGTTTATTTTATTAAATGTTCAAATTGCAGTCCGCTGTTTTATACTTTCAGTGACAGCACGCAATGTACACATACTGATTTTGTTACATTCCACTTGAATATGGTTTTTCAGTGACTCAAGTGTTTGCGGATTTCAAATGGCCCCATAAGAAGTCTAAAGGAGTCAGGTCTGGTGATCTGGGGTGGCCATTCAACTGGTCCATGTCGACTGATCCATTTTCCTAGTATCTCGGAATCTAACCGCCCATGTGCTATTAAAGCGAAATGTGCAGGAGCCCCATCCTGCTGAAACCAGAAACGTAGACGATTTGCAAGTGGCTTATCGTCTAAATAAGGCTGCAAGACTTCATTCAACATTGCAACATATGTTTCCCCAGACAAATTAGCATACAAAAATTATGGTCCGAACAATTCCATATTAAGGATGCCACACCAGACCAATACCTTTGGATCATTTTGAACATGTGTCTCTTCTGCCCAATGTGGCTTCTCATCTGCCCATTATCAGCAGTTATGGCAGTTTACCATTCCATTAAGGTGAAATATAGCCTCATCACTAAACAAGATAACGGAGTAAATTGAAGGTTGCATCACTTCCTGCTGCGTTATCCACTCACAAATAAACATATGATTCCGGATTTTTTTTACCCCCTGTATAATGGAGTAAACATTCATTTCATCATAAAAGTTAAAATTTTCCTTTGCACTTAAATATTAGAGTACAACTATGTTTGTCAAATGTATGTGTGTGTGTGTGTGTGTTTGTGTGTGTACGGTGACAAGAATATTCTTTCAGTATACAGTACTTCAAAAGCATAAAAGCATGTCGTGATAATCATTCAAATCATTAATAAAAACAGAAGCAAACCCTCTGTGAATGGCCATGGCTAGGCCCACATACTACTTATGTGTATAACGTGATAAGCGCCGATACTACATCAATTAATCTATGAGAGTATTATGTAAACAAAGCAGCATGTGAAGCATCAACGTTGCCAGACCATGTAATGAGTAAAATTATATCAATTTGCTTTAAAATATTTTGGTCCCAAGATAAAAATGTGCACCTTATGTCTCACCAAGTAACTCGGAGGTTTCAGATTATGAGTAGAGACTCTCAGGGTTCACACCTCACACAGAGGACAGATTGACAACATTGAGTGTACCACTCAGAAAAGTCCCCAATTGTACCTGAATGTGTACTAGTGTTGGTCAAGTCTGGTCTTAATTGTGCTCACACTCTATGCCATCACAATGTTCTCTGGCAGGTTATTCCAAGAGTTCACAACTTTTACTCTAAAAAAGTTAGCTCTGACAATTTCCTGTGCCTTCTCTAACCTGAGGCTGTGAACTCTAGTGGGGCAGACATCCACTAACTCCAGATAAAAACACCTGACTATGTACTGCATTGTCCTTTGAGGTGATTTTAAAATTCTATTGAATCACCCCGTGCCCATCTATAGTATAAACTAAGCAACTGAAGGCATTCTATCCTTAGTACACGAGGTGGTTAAGTGCAGGCACCACAAGTTCTTTATCAACTAACAGTCTTTAGAATATTTTGAAGATAAGAAAGAATGACAGTACTGTACTCAAGTGGGGCAGCACCACAATTCTGAAGAGTATAATGAGGAATGGACAATCTACATATGCTCAAATTCTTAATGTAAGTACTTTTCTACTAGTTTATTTACACGATTTACCTTCTCACGATGAGCAAGAACTTCAGTTTGTTGTTAATATACATTACAAAGTTCTTTTCACATTTAGAGTCTGTTAATGATGTTTCAGCATCATGTTGGGGCATGTGATATGCCTCCTTACTATTGATATAACTTAGGTACAGCCTCTTGCATTTTGTAACATTGAATCTCAGCAGCCATTCCTTTGACCCCTCCTGTATCACTTCACAGCCCATTTTGTTGTTAATTTTCTTAAATAGCTTAGCACTGTCAGCAAATATTTGTAAGGAGGAATGAATAGCATCTGGCATATCATTTATGAAACAAACATCAGTCCTAGTATATTGCCACAGGTACACATGATGATTCATGTCATATATCATAACACACAATGCTTGTGGTTATAAAAGAAGTTGCCAATCATTACCATAACGTTCCCAAAAATTCCATTCCTTTACAGTTAAATTTTCAGCCTTTCGGGAGGTATACTATCTAACTGTCTTGGCAAAGTCAAAGTATAATAATATACAGTGATCCCTCGGTTAACAAGATTTCGGTTAACGAGTTACCTTCCATAAGATTCTTAACTTCGGTTAACGAGCAATCCCTCGATTAACGAGTTTTTACGAGCCGACCTCAACATGTTTTCGCTTGCATTTGGCGGTCCACCAGCTGTAGTATTAGTCCGCCAATACAGCAATCGGTTTTAGGGCTTAAATTCCTTACTATTTTAGTAAATATCAAGAAGTTTATACTATTCAATAATTTTAAAAGTTTAACATTAAATTTTTTAGTCATTTTAACAATTATTGAACATAATTGAAGGTATGGAAACTAGTTTCATGCACGCCATCCAGCCTGGCAACACACCAAACAGGCGCCAGTCTCTCTGTCTTTTCAGTGGAAGTAACATCTTGCTTGAGACTCTCTTCAACTAAATGCTTTTTTTGTGTTTGCAAGCAAATTATTGGTCATTTTGAAATTTATTTTACATATTGACAATATATAATGCAGTGTTGATTTAAAGAAAACAATCTTGAATTACACCAAGAGAACTAAAATTTTATGGGTGAAATGGCGCCATGGGGTGACTTCTCTTCCACCCCAATGCCTTCTCTTCTCCCTTCTCCTCCACTCCCATTCTAATTCCCATCATCATCATCATCATCCAGGAGCCTTCTACATACACACCTCAAAGTAAGTGTACTTTTCTACCATTTTTGTCGAATTTAGGCAATTTTAGGTGAGCTGGAACCAATTACCCAAAAACCCATTGAAACAATGGTTTCGGTTTACGAGCAACCTTCTAGAACGGATTGTGCTCGTTAACCGAGGGACCACTGTATTGTCAATATTGCCATCACACTCCAATAACTTCAGCAGTTGTGTCAAGCAGGAGCATCTGTGCATAAAATCTATGCTGGCATTCCTTAATGAGGTTGTTTCCTTGTACATAAGATGTTCTACCATGACCCTCTAGTACTTCACACACTATGCTGGCAAAACCCACTGGCCTGTAACTATGTGAAGTGGCAATTGTTCGTGAATATAGGAATTACATATGTCAAATATAGGAATTACATGTCAATTTCCAGGATTTTAAGGGGTTCCTTGAGCCCATTACAAAACCCTCTTAATATTCTGAGATACACACTATCAGGGCCAGGATTTAAACAACTGAGCTCCAGTACACGCTTCTGAGAACCCATTGTGTGCTAGTTATGTTTCTTCCTGTTTTTTCCTAAAAAGCAGGAAGTTGTTTACATCATCTCTTGCAAACACTGAGGAAAAGAATTTATATGCCTACCATTTTAAGTTTTACTGTGTACAGTTAAAAGCTACTTTTACGAGTGAATCTAGTGATCTAAACAGAGGCTTCACAGGCAGTTACAGAGGTTTTACTGTACCTTTACTACACATTAGGCCTGGTGCTCATTCAGTAACTCCCAGGTCCCAAGCATGCCAGGTAAGTGGTCCCAAACCTGTACTATCCCCATTTTTATTTTTCAATAAGTCAGACCAGTCAATGCTTCTTGTTTCCTACTTATCTTTTTGTAATCCCCACTGCTTTTGCTAATTTAGACATCATACCCTCCTCATCAGTTATGGTGAGAGCCAGTGGTTAAATATGTTGGAGGAGGAAATAGTTTCATGATTTAAAAAATAAATAAATAAATAAAATGCAGGATTAGTTAAGGCTATTTGGTGTAATTTCATTGCTTCAGTCAATGTTGCCATAACTGAAGTCCCCCATGACAATGAGGTGGCTCGAGTTGAGTACTGCTGCATTATCTTCTAAGGATCTTAAGTTCCTGTGGTTCAATAATCTACAATTTGGAGATCTGTAAATACATCCAACAAGAAGTGTGTCTCTTCACTATGGTTTAATTTTACACCTTTTTAATTCTCTAAAAACATCTTCCCCCTGCACTCTCAACCTGACTAACTCTAAGGTTCTTTCTAGGACATAATAACCACTCCTGTTTTACAGGTTGCCTCAGAGGTGCACTATTTTCCTCATGTGATTTGTAGTATGGACAATGCCCATAATAAACTATTGTCTACCTTTAATTTGACAGTAATTTAATTCTGTTGGCTTAACTATTTTAACATTTTATGAATTATTGAGGTATGAAACAAATTACAAAAAAACATAAGCCTTTACAAAATATTGTCTTACATTGAATTTAACAGTAAACATTTAATATATTATTTTTGCTCCTATGTTAACAGCTGACTGTAATTAACTTTGATTCTTGGTTGTACTGTATTGTATCTACCTAAATAATAATCAATCTATTTCCTGCATGGAAAAAAATTATAATCACATGTTCTTGTTACTGCATAATTATGATACTTAAAGAGTAAAAAAAAACTCACAGCAGCCTCAAAGCCTTTCAGGTTTGGTGTGAGAACAGGATAAGATACATTTTTGACTCTGTGGATTCCACGCAACACCTCAGCATGATCTGCTAACTGTGGCACCCATTTTGGTGACACAAAACTGTGAAGAGTAAATGAAAGTGATGAGATGTTAGTTTAGAATTGCCAGCTTGGATTAGATAATGCAGGTGCTTACATATAGAGATTCCTCATATTACAGGTACTGTATAAACTCTCAAATTCAGGACCATTGGAACCAAGACCAAAATGGTTTTGAGGATTTTCCAGTTTCCTGGGTCATTAAAGTTACCCTAGGCCTTACAGGAGAGTTAAGTCAAGTTTTGCTTCCTCACACACACACACACACACACACACTAACTCAACTGAATGTTTGTCTTAGTTCTTCAATAGTAAAATTTAGGCTATCTAAAAGTTGAGAGTTCCCTAAAAGTGAATGAAATGGCTTTGTTTACATCGCAGCAGCTTCTAGAAAGTAGTGACATTTGCCTATACAGGTTGACAATCCCTTATCCAAAATTCTTGGGGCCAGAGGCATTTTGGAATTTTTCGGTTTTCAGAATGATTTTTTTTTTTTTTTATAATGTGTATTAGCCCACCCGGGCATAGATCACTGACCCACATCAGGGCCTGGGGGGTGAAAATGTAATAAAATTATAATAATAATAATAATAATAAAATTATAATAATAATAATAATAATAATAATAATAATAATAGTAACATTTCATAAGTCTAGGTCATGTTTCTCACTTTTGATCTTTTTTCATTCTTGTATTTCTTTATTATTATCATTATTATTATTATTACAGTACTCCTGTATTATTGTTATTTTTATTAATTTTATTATTATTATTATTAGTGTTATCATATTATTTTATTTTGGTGTATTTTTATTAAAATTTTTATTTAGTGTGTACTGTACTATGAATAATTATTATTATAATTATTATTACTATTACATTTTCGCCCCCCAGGCCCTGATGTGGGTCAGTGATCTATGCCTGGGTGGGCTAATCCCTGTTAAAAAAAAAAAAAAAAAAAAAAAAAAAATTGCCCCACAAAAAAAAAATTCGGTTTTCGGAATTTCGGATAAAGGGTTGTCAACCTGTAGTTCATAAATAATTTTGTCTGATTGAATAAATACCCCAAATACCTTGATTGTTGGTCAAATAAAACCAAAGATTGGAGGTAAATTATGGACCACGTGAGAACAGGCAGCACCTGGCATAGAAATTCACTAGAAACTGATGGGATGTAAACAAACCCATTGCACTTGCTTATAGGGAACTCTCAACTTGAGAACAGTCTAAGTTTTAATGGTCAAACTTTTAAACTGAAAGCTGGGGGTCAGACTATATATGCATAATAGTTTTAAGGGGTTAAAATTCATGCATTTTTGTGGGTCATTTATGGTGAACGATAGTTACCCAGTACAGTAAAATCATAGTGTATGCATATCCATAGTACACAACCCCACTTATAAGCGTCTGATCCCCTGAACAACCTTTAGGCTTAGGTCTCGCTCTTGAGCAAGCCAACCCACCCAGCATCTCTTGCTAGCTCAGTGTTTATGACTTGTCTACCGTATGCTTGGTTAAAAAAAAATAATAATTGCTGTACAATACTCTAATGTGGCTTAGAAATCAATATAATACAATATAAAACTACAGTATAAAATAAGGAAAATGAAGAGCATGGGTATGTGTGGGAAGTGAATGTATGTAGGTACAGTATTGAGGCAGTGAGCCGTAACTGCATCACCAAATCGCCACCCAGCCCTCAGTATCCCTCTCCCATATGACATTACGACATACACACAGGGCAGCACAGCAACTGCCACACATGTCTCTGAGTCAGCTGAGTGACTGCCTGGTGAAACTGTGTCAGGATGCCCAAAGGATGATATGAGTGTATATGTACAGTCAGCCAAAGATCCAGCGACCCCACCCTGAGTCTCGTACTGGCAATACTTGGTAAAGTAAGGCTGTATGTAAAGGTGATTGTGATTGGTGAATCTATTTTTGGCTGCTTTACTGTCAGGATAAATATTAAACAACCCAAAGGTAGAATTTTTATAAAAATAAACTATTCATTGTTATTTAAGATCATGAGAAATTTCCAAATGTTCTTATATTTGCTTAAATAATGAAGAAAATTTGATCTGAGAATCTTGTGGCAGTCCTCGTTCCCCGTTGTAGTGGAGTTGCCAATTCATTAATATAATTTCTACGTTATTTAACCAAATATACAAACTTTTGGAACTTCTCATGATTTTAAATAGGAATGAGTAGTTTATTATTAAAAAAATTCTACCTTTGGTTTGTTTAATATTTATCCTGAAAGTGATACAGCCAAAAATAGATCCACCAATCACAATCACCTTTACATACCAGTACAGCCTTCCTTTACCAAGTACATATTGACAGGTAAAATTGCCAGTACGAGACTCAGGGTGGGGTCGCTGGATCTTTGGCTGACTGTACATTTAAAGTGTTCATATGGTACAGTAGGTTTAATAATTGAGTTAGTTTGTATAATTAAGGTGTATGTATGGTACAGTAGGTTAAATTATTGTCAAGACGTTCTCACTTTCGCACTGGTTCCACGAACATCTCCCAGGCAATCGCACTGGTAAAGTTTTTCTTTACTGGTGAATTTTACTGCAATCATGGCCCCTAATAATGCAATAAAATAGCTACAATAACATAAAAACAATACAAAAGAACACACTCTGTGTGTGTGTGTGTGTAGCGACATTTGTAAACGAGTGTCAACATTTAAACTATCAACTACATTTGCCATATGAAGAATCCTTGAAAGCTTGGCATATTTTTTCATGCCGCTGTTTGGAAGTACAGTACAGGTACAGGCAAGGGGTGAGTGTCTTTCATGCGCAGGAAAAAAGAAAGCAGGAAACGTTTGTGTGAAATGGGCCTTAGCTACATCAGAATATGAGAGCTGTGGCTAACCCGCCTGGTTTGAAATATTACTGTAGGTTAACGTAATTTTTCATTTGCCAACAAGCAGAGTATGCTTTGCATATATTGATTAGGGGTGTTAAAATATCAATTGCAGATAAGTGGGGTTGCAAATAGCAAAGTATTCCTGTGTGTGTGTGTATATATATATATATATATATATATATAATTATTTTTCATTTAAAGTATGTATCCAATGATAATGTCTTTATTTCATTATTTAAGAAGTTAAACAAACAGTCAACTAAATGTGTGTGTGTGTGTGTGTAAGCAAAATTTTACTTAGTCAGGGAAGAAAATGTCCAGTTTTCGAGAATCTCCACTTTACTAAGATCCAGTTTTGAGGGTCTGTCCCTGTATCATACATGGAACTACTGTATCATGCCCAATTATCATAAATAAAAAACGGTTTTTCCATGAGATCTTATAATAAAGTAAAACAAAAATTTGTTGGGCAAATTACTGAGTCACAACAACACAATTGAATGCATCTATTCAGTGATATCTCCATTAGCCAGAACAATTGGTGCAGCGCACTTCAGGAATGAGAGATTTCCAAGTACAGTAATGAGACAACTCTCAAAAAGTGAAAAAAATCCCCCATTCCCAAAATTTTGCGAAATTTTCCGAGTAACGGAATTTCCTGAAAATACGCATGATTTTCATTTCTCAAACCTCGAAAAAACTCTCCCATCCCGGAATTTTCCAGGTACCTGTACTAGGAAATGTTTATAGGAATTTTCCAGAAAATCTGCCCCTTGGAAAATTGTTCTCAAAGCATGAATTTTTCTGGAAAATTCTGGCTTTGGGAACGATTTTCTGGGAAAATTTCAATTCCTGCTATCGGAGAGTTCCGGGTTTGAGGGATTCCAGCTAACGGAGATATTATTATTGTGGTAATTCCTCCTAACCAATGTAAAATCTTTACCAAATATATTTCACTAACCCTGAATCTCCATTCAAACATTTCCTTCCATCTTCCCAGACTACTGTATTACCAAATACACCTTCAGTTAACAACATTTGTCAGAATGTCATAACCTATTAAACAGGCCCATAGAGCAAAGCCACTATCTCTACTCTAAATCTGGTAGCAGTAATTTATCCTAAACCTTAAATCAATAAATTCATATTACCCCCCCCCCCATTTATTATTTATTTGCTTACAAGCCATTTGGACAGTTAAACTGTTCTTTGTTACTTTGTTATGAATTTTATTGTCCAGTGTTAGTACAGGAGCAAACCTGTGGCGTTTGGTAGGGTCACACTGGATGATACCCTTCCCACATCTGTCCTGGGCCAGAACTTGAACCAGGACACAAAAGTGAGATATATGCACATTAAAGCTGTACCACCAACATTCTCCTGGCTATATTACTATTCTACATCCACAGTGTATCTCCTTATTGGATATGGCTGTTAAGTGCTCAAAATATTTGCTTATCCTACACCACCTCCAGAATGTAAACTCCTTAGTTCCTGTGCATCTTGCTGCTAGGTCAATCTCCCTCTGTATACCATTATTTGAACACTTGTTCTTAATCCCACGAATACTGTATTTCAATAAATAAGGTCTTTCTAATTTAACTAAACATGAGTTCCCTCACTTTATTCATGAGTACTGCATTACAGTACAATAAACTCTTGATAACTCGGCATTCGTTATCTCGAAAGTTCATAGAATTTGGCATGTGTATGGTCTCATAATTTATTAGCAGATAATTCGGGAAATGCCGAGTTATATAAAACTATCGGAAAATCTTAGCATACAGTACTTGGCCAAGTGGGTAACACTTGCCCCGCAGCACTCCACGCTTGGTCAGTCTGGTGTTTGCTATTGTTCACGCTTGGTCAGTCTGGTGTTTGCTATTGTTGTGGTCGGGTGTGTGCTGGCTCACACCACATGGACGTGGGAAGGGAGCACCCCAATATTTTGGGTATAAAATACTATACTGTACATTGCACCACAGAGTTTCTAGGGCACCAGAATTAATATTCAGCCCTCCTTGGGCCCTGCAGTACTAACCAAGTAACACCCAACAACTTCTGGCAAGACTCTACAACTGAAGAAATTAACTTTACATAGAAATAAAGTCTTACTCAAATTTAAATACACTACCTGTATACAGTACCGTATATATCAGGTACTATAAGCAGTTCTGTTAACTTAACTTTCTCTTCCAGAGGCATCTACCTTCCGAATAACTTTCAGTATTAACAACTATCTTATTGCATCCATGTACACTTAACAATTCTCATTAGTACACTGAATTATACCTTTTTAACATTTCTTAAGTCTCATAGATTATGTTACATACAAGTCTAAACTTACCTTGTTACTTCCACTGACTGATGACCGGCCTGTGATAGTCTATTTATAAATTCGATCTTTACATTTGTGGGTACATGCACCTTCTCATTTTGCAATCCATCTCGAGGACCTACTTCAACAATTTTAACTTGCTTGGGATACTCTGGGCGAACATGTGCTCCACGAATCTGAAAAATGAAAATTAGGATCCATGAGTTTGATTTCTAAGTCATCTCTTGGAGAAAAAAAAAGAGAGGGATTAATCCTAAAATCCCATTTTATAAGCAAGCACAGATTAGGCAACTCATGTAAAGTTAACAGGTCTATGATTTGACAACTGAGGACTAGCAGGACCAATGGATCCAGGGAAAATTCTTCTGGACACCATAAAGACAGCATCACCTATTTCACACAAGGCAAAATTCCCAGCAATATACATAAGTGATAGAAACAAGTGGACTGAAACTAAGAGAAAATATGTCTCTAGTCACTCTTTCAATGGCATATATGAAGAAACAGCTAAACTTCCATGTAGCCTTGCCACTTAAAGGGACAAAAATGCACCCTCGAAAACAAGCTGAGAAAAACTGGAAAGTAAAATTCTCACAATAACAAGACCCTCCAAAACATAGAAATTATTTTCAATTCAATCAACACTTGTCTGAACAAAACAGACACATTATTACATGATCAAAGGCTTCCCTTGAGCAAGGGGACAAGAGTTCTGAGGCTGTGCTCGAAAGGATGAGAACATTCCCAGTATCCCTTGACAGTACAACTCTTATGTCAAAGTACCAAAGTAAGTTACATAAACAAACTGCCCAAAACCACTACACAAGACTGGAAAAAAGTTGTCTTCAAAATGAGATAAACCTATTAAAGATGTACTGTACTTAATCCTTGCTATCCACATTTCACATATAGTATCCTAACATTAACACTAATTATGGGGAATATGCCCCTAGAATCCCCTCTGGGAAGCTAATTGTGCTAGAAGCCCACTCTGAAACAAGTTGAAATGGAAGGAACAGAATGTAAGAGGAGCATTTTATGCTGAGTTGAGAAGCCTTGAAATACCCAGCAAAGCATGCAGCAACATGGTGGTGGAATGATGAAGCAAACAAAGAGATACAGGAGAAAAGAAGATTGTTTAAGGCCTGGAAGATGAGTGGTGCCAAGGAGGAGTACTGTACCTGAAGGCCAACTTATGGCCAGGAGAGAGGTTTACAAGGCTAAGGAGCATGAACAGGACACATTCAAAGATGTGTTGAATAGTGTTGACACAAGAGGAGAGGTACTGTATTCAGAAGAGCCAGGCAAACAATGGGTAGAAGCAAGGAACTTGTGAGTGAGCAGTGTGTGAGAGATGACCCTGGTAACGTCATATTTGATGATGAGGAAAACAGCTTGTGCATGTATGGTATTACAAGAATTATCAATTAGAGGGCTTAAGCTAGAATAACTCTCAGGAAGTGGGTAACTGAGTACAGTACCGGTATTAAAAAAGAAATTAACAAGATTCTTTATAAGAATTACATCTTTTGACCCAAAATCCTGATCAGCTTCTTCTGAGGTACCTTTGGTAAGATTAGAGAAATATGCCTTCAATCGTTTTCTTAAAAATATTTGTCATGGGACTGCAAGTTCTCAATGAAAAAAGTTAAAGCAAAAAAAAAAAAAGTAAATAAATAAATAAATATAAAAATAAAAATAAAATCCATCATAAATAAACTAAAAATGGTGGAGAATGAGATATAATATGGTACAGTACTTACCTCCACATATTGTGATTTTCCAAACGATACCTTGAAATAAAAATACATGAATCAAATACTATACTTAAAACCAGCAAATAATGAGAGCTAATTTTGAAGTTCTAAGCTTAGACCTGAGCCAGTTTTAGGCAACTAAAATACAACTAGCTAACTAGTCTACAAGGTTGAAAAGAGAGGTCCCCATGATGCTCAAAACTTGTGGTGGCAGACTTAACATATTTAACTAAAAAATCAGCCTACTCAACTTACAGTATAATAGAGTCCCTGAAAGGATAAACTACCAATGGCAGTTCCCTCTGAAGTTGAAAAGTTGAGTCTTTGCCACCACATAAACATACTTTTACTTACTTCTATCCTCTTCGCCACTGATCGGTTCTTTATCCACTTGGGCGGTCGGTCAAATCTCTGTTATGCACTCTTAGCAAATACTAGGCATGCACTGGCTCCTGAATATATCAGAACCTGCTCCAGTGTTGGTCAAGTCTGGCCTTGAATGAGCTCACACTCACCCACTCCAATGAAAGGAAGGAAAGATTCTGACTTGCCTGACCCAGTAAGAAAATTGACCATAGCTACTGTATTTAATGTACAGTCAACTCCCTCTAACCCAGACTCACTTAATCTGGATCCCCTTGCAAACCAGACTAGGGTTCAGCACCGGACACATGTACCCCCAGCCCGGAAAAACAACCACTGTGGTATAGGTGGTTGCTGAGGCGCACTACAGTGAAGTGCCTAAGAAATACAAATACTTGTAGTGTACAGTACATACCTACAGTCAATAAAATTAGCAGTGAAAATATAACCTCCTCAACAGCTTTGGTAATGTACATTGCGAGAGTCATACAATCAAATCCTGCCTCAACCGCCTCATCACCTCAAGATGCAATCGCCTCCAATGTTAATAATTATTAAGTACTGTATAGTACTTTAGTATTAACATGTAGTATGTGGTTCGATTTTTTATACAGTATCATGGATGTACCGATATCAGTGTTATCAGCCTATTTTTGGAGTATCAGTACAGTAGAACGTCGATATAACAAGAGATACATTCCAATAGAGGTCGCTTTAAACCGAATTCCCACTAAATCGAAGTGTTGTTTCAATGGAATAATTTAGTTTGGTACTCGAGAGAAACACAAAATACGAAAAAAATTGGCAGTACCCAGATGCACCTCAGCCCATCTCCTAGAATAAACAAAACATTGTTTTTTGTAGAATTATGCTAAAACAAACACTCATAAATCAACACAGCTAAAATTAAGGGATGCGAAATGGTCTGTTTACCAGTGATCAGCTGATGCAAGAGGGTGGTCGCGCTGGCACCGCCTGCCTCCCGTCTGACTCACCAAGCACTTTCACTTTCCTCTCAACTTAGTTTTTAATTACTTTATGCTTTCAAAATAGATTTTTACTCAACTTTACTTAGGCAATTCATCCTCTGAAGACACGGACCCCAACACGACCATCTCATTATCCACATCACTGTCCAAATTGACGCCCCACACTTGAAGTACCATTTCCACACTGCAGTGCTTCCAGCACCTTGATTTTCTGCTCCAGTGTAATTGCTTGTTGATCTCATGGTCTTTGAGGTAGTCAATGATGTAGTGGATGGCCTCTTGGACATAGTGGCAATGGTTGATGCATGTGGTAGAAGGAGATAGTGTCACACAATATGTCCGTTCACTAGAACGTCAGTGCGAGAACTGAGGATGGGTGTGGGAGGGTGGTGGGCAGCCGTGTAGCGTGCCCAGAGACGCGCCTGGAGGTAAACATTAGGCGCGAAATTTAAAAGTGTGTGTACCGGTAATTCCATATGATGCACCAGATTGACTAGCATAAAATAGGAAAGTTTCGCTTTAAACTAATACATTGTCCTTAATTGTGGGTGTCGCTTTAAATCAATAATTTTAAATTGAATCGTTTTAAATCAACGTTCTACTGTATAGGCCAATTTTTAGTTGATACTGCAGATACTTTCATAATTTCTTTAAATTTCGTCTCTGGCAGCTAACACTATTCATTTCCACTACAGAATCACACATATGACAGATTTTACTACAAGTGAACTGCTCTTTGTTTCCCTTGCAAATGACCTAACTTAACCTCCTAATCAGGGACTCTGCCCTCTGGACCCCCCAGGCATATCTAAGTCATTTGCAAGGAAAGGCCACAGACGAAAAGTGTCTTAGAATTGTTAAACTACCTATAGTAAAGAAATAATTCCTAAGATTCTCATGCTGTCTGAAAGTAAATTAATACCAGGTTTGGTCAGGTTTTATGTTCTCTGTATTGTTGTATTATTTTTATTACTGGCTACCATCCAAACAACTGCTTCTGGTGTTAGCCGTGTCCTCCCCCATTAACATTTTTCCTCTACAGTCCAGTAGTTGCTTCTTCTCATGCATCAGTTATCTAGATGATTATTATTTGGCGATGAAAGGATTGACGAGGCCATCTTCAAATGGATATGGCAGACAGATGATTTTATGCCCATTAAATATAAGATTACCACAGTAAGAGTGAACAAATGAGTAATAAATACAGTAGTTAAATTTGGCAATACTACTCGGTAATTTTTTCCTGCTGAAATCTTAGGCAATGTCCGAGAACCACTACCACCAGAAGTTGTTCAATTTTGTTAATTTTTTTCCACAGATGTTCTTAATATAATACAGGGTAGTAATTATTTTAAAAGAGGCAACATTTACTAGAACCTGACTTAACCAACCAAAGAAACCTACCTAATATTAACTTCCTTGCCCCCCACCCCCCCCCAGCTAGGAAGTTAGGTAATTTGAGGAAGGTTTCTTTGGCTATACCCCCAGACCCCCTGCCATATTAAATAGAAAGTACTTATTTTGATATCTGGTACCAATGAAAGCAACTTTGTTGAAGCGTCATGATTTGATGTTTTTTGTGGGCATGAGAGTATGCTCGGACTGAGCTCATTGGTTGTTAACAAACTGGACAGACAACAACACGCGTTGACTCTTCAGATTTTTTGGAGGAGTATTTACAATAATTAATTTCTTTGTGTACAAAGCACGTAGAGACATCGTTTTAGTGTCATATGATCAGTTTTTCATCGTGTTTGACCCCACACTTTCCCCCAACCTTCATGCCCTGCCCACTACAGGTGATTTATGATCATAGACAGAGAAAAAAGCAAAATAAAAATAAAAATTTGTCGCCTCTTAAAATAATTACCACAATGATAAGAACACGTGGAAAAAAAAATCAAACAACTCCTTCTGGTGGTAGTGCCGTTTTCAGAAATTACCAAAACTTATGTATGGCGTTTTAGATGCACGGAATTGCTAACGCGTTAGCTATTCTGTCTGCGCAGACGCTTCTGCTGAGTTGTGCGCATGACACCTTAAGAGGGAAGAGCAAATGCCTTGATCAGGTGTTAGCCTTGTGCAGAGCTCTAGCGGCCCGAATAGCTAACAACCAATCAGCGATTTCTCCACTGAAAATATGTGGATCATGGCCGCTTTTGGAGAATATTTTGATTAATATTGAAGAGTTGGAGGCATGTAAGGCAATAAAAAACTGTGATATAATAGTAAAAATAATTCTATATACAGTAGTATATTGAATAGGACCTAAAATAAAGCGTATGGCGTGAAAGAATTGAAAAGGATTGCGCCTAGTTGAAACCTGTTTTGGCTCCACCCGTTTCTAAGTGGGCGCTGTCTGATTTCATTAGCCGTTGGTGACTTTGGTGTAACAATATTGATAATGACTCAAATATGATTGAAACCTTAATATCATTACTCATAAGATACTTTAAATAAGGGTGAATAAGTTGAGTACAGTTCTGTAAGTGCAAAAATTAAGACATAAACGAACCTGAAATTCGTCGCATTTCGTGTACAAATATGCGAACACCAGGGGCATCACTTGGGGGGGACCTGGCTTGCCTCCCCCAAGATCTGTCTCCCCCCCACCTCCCTCCCCCGAAGACCTGGCTTGCCCCTCCCAAGGGATGTCTTACTCTCCAAGGAAAATTGTAATTATATTCCTTTTTCATAAAGACAAATTTGAATTTGGTGAGAACATCTCAATGGTATTTTTACTATACATAATTAAACAAAATGATAAATATTCATCCATTTTCATAGTTCCCATTGCCTATTATTTATAAACTGAATAGCAGCAAGGGAGTAAGTCATATTGCTAGTAGCCACACGGTCCACACCGGGCAGATGCAAATTGAAAATAGAAAACGTGTTGGAACGTGTTCCATCTGTTACAGCACCACCCGGCGGGGGTCCGACTAATTACCCAAATGCAGCCGCAATGAAGTCAAATAATGGTCCTACATGAATAAATCGGACTGCCAATCACTTCTCGACTAGTATTTGGTGTCACAAAGTAAAAAAAAGTTGGAAAACGTAATTTAATCTGAGTTAATAGATCGAGTGCATGTACCTTAACCTAACCTAACACAACTCAGATTAAATTAAGTTTACCAATTTTTTGTGACTTTATGACACCAAATAATAATTGAGAAGTGATTCACAGCCTGATTTACGCTTGTAGGACCATCATTTGACTTCATTGTGGCTACATTTGGGTAATTACTCGCTCCCTCGGTACATGCACGCGATCTATTAACTCAGATTAAAGTAAGTTTTCCTTTTTTTTTTACTTTGGGACACCAAATACTAGTCGAGAAGTGATTGGCAGTCCGATTTATTCATGTCGCACCATTATTTGACTTCATTGCGGCTGCATTTGGGTAATTAGTCAGACCGCCCGGCAGCACCACGGTGGAGCAGGATTTTGACCCCTACTCTTTGCATGTAATGGTGTTGCCCCCCCTCCCCCCACCCAAGCAAAATCTGAAATGACACCCCTGGCGCACACCTAGCCGCGAGAGAAGAAGCGTACAGCTGCTCTATTTGTTATGTGTGGTTTCAGAATCCGGGAAAAATTACCTTTACAACGGGCCCGATTTTTTGTCCTATTCTTATTTATTGTTGACTGATTAACTTTTTTCCTTTTTTGTCTTTCTTTCCATAATTTTCTATATATTTTCTTCACTATTTCTTTCCGTATTGTGTCCAATTGACAGTTCTCCTAATTTTATTGTTATCTGAAGACTGTGTTGTACAACAGTTAATCCCAAGACGCGATACAATGTCGTTTATTTTAATGATCAGTCCCGGAACAAGCTAACGCAACAGCTATTTCGTGTATCTATAACACCTTACAATAAACGCCTATAAGTTTCAGTCCAGTCACAAAAGCATCCATGGCAAGTCCAAGTCCTACTTGCTACTTCTTGAGCATTCTAGTAATATTTTCCTTGCTCTCCAACTTGACTTGTATTTTATTCACTAAACCAAACTTAAAACGAGAACACAAGAAATCAAACCACAATTACGAGTGAAAGCATAAAAAACCTTTGAAATAATGAATATCTAGGCAAACTTAACTGATCGACTCGATCAGTGGCGAAAAGCATACAAGTAAATCTTTGAGAAATCAAGTGCACCTTTAAAGGCACTAATCTTTAAAAATTACGAAAAATATAAATATCAAAAGACTGTAAAGCAACTTGGTGACTAATCAGCTGATTACCTTTTATATTGTTTACCTGACTGGACTTCCTTAATATCAACTTAGCCAAGCAGTATTTCACTATTTCCTTATTGATAAAATTTGAAACATATGCCTACAACAACATATACATTAACACTTACCGCAGAGGCACCATAATTCCTGCAGAAAGTCTTGAGGGCAGATATTACATTGACCCGACAAGCGAGCGTCGCCATGGTGAAGGATCGTCTGCTGGCTTGTCGTCTGCTCATGGCGCGGACTCTACCACACGTTTAAACACCACACCTGGCTGATGCTCGTACAAAGGTCCGTATTTGATATCTTATTATTGTGGCGGTATCAAATTGAATAATATTGATTTACAGATTGATTATTAGAATGTTTGACAATCACGGGAGGAGCACAACAGGTGGTACAGTATGAGCTTCCTTGTTCTTCTCGGGGATTCAAGGAAAACCAGAGTAGTATAAGGAACAAAAAAGGTGTTTGGCGACTCTTAAACGTAAATTCTCACATGTTGAATAAACGTTACAATGTGAGTCATTATATAGAGTAAAATGAGAAATGGATATAAAAATAAGATAGTCGGTCATATATTTTAGTAAACCTCTTACATACAGGTGGCATTTCCGTCATGCTCGACCACTTCGAGAATTTTCCTGTTATTCTCCAGACAGTATTTCCCGAATCTCCATTGCAAGTTACGAAGGGGAAAATATCAGAAAAAAATATTGAAATTTATTGTCTCCTTACTAGTGCAAAGCAAGAGTATCTAGTTAAGGAGTCTCGGCTTTAATTTTGAAGTTATTTTTCGAATTTACCTTATACTTAAGTTGAAATGTGAAGGGTTTTATTGTACCTTCAGTAACAATGATGTTTAACTTACGAGCCTTAAGGAAATTAGCCACCTAATCAAGGGCAGATCCAAGAGGGGTCCTGGGGGTCCGGACTCCCTTTTCCACCAGAACATTCCAGTACATTTTCTTTAATGCAGTATTGTACTCAGGCATTTTTGTTTGGTAAAAAGTTTTTACTATTGACTTCAGAATTTCCCCCAATATCAAGTGCGCATGGCTTCAAAATGGCCTCAAAATACCCATGATATTGGTCAGATTAATAAAAGAAATAAAATTCTAGGGGGCTTAAAGCCCCAGCCCCACAACTTCTTGCACCCCCTTTTGATATTCCTGGATTCGCGTCTGACCTTTGACGTGGCATAAATACAGCGTAACTAGCATAGTGATTATTTACCTTACTTACTTAAAATCCATCCCAAGGAATTAAAAGACCTACACTACCGCCATCTATTGGACAATCTAGAAATCATAGAAAATGGTCATTTACTGTTTTGAGAAAATGGGTACTTTATAACGGTAACAATTAGTATTTCAGCTGATTTTACTTGCTATACCTTCGGTATTCATTTAATCACTCAGGTTTATCATTTATCATTTCACTACGTATCACTGTATTAACCGTTTGAGTGGTTTGTCTTTCTTTTAAATTTTTTTTCATGAACTCCTGTAGCGGAATACACCCCAACATGGCGAGCATAATACTGTAGTGGATTTCTCCCCTACAAACGCTGTTTGTCGCTGAGTAGCCGACCCCGCCAATTCCCCAGTGTATGCCTCGTGGTCTGGGTCAACCAGCGCCGCCATACATCACGGAGGTCAACTACTAAGCCACGCCTACCCCCGCTATTTAAGACCTGACCTCGTGGTGACCTCTCTCTTTTCTACCTACACCAATCAACACCCCTTCCTCCTCCGCCGCTGCCTGGCGGCCCTCGCTCCCGCCGGCGAGCATGGCGACCCACAAGCTGTCCTCTGAGCATCCTCACCAACCAGCTCTCTCTACATCACGCTTGTAACCACGCTGCCACTTCCCAGCACCAAGCTGCATTGTACATCCAATACAACATGTATATAGAGAGCACATTATGAGTTTCCTTTCTCCATCCCATCCTGAGTGAACCCAAACATCCCGTACCCCACAAATGGTGACTCCCGGAGATTCGCACTTACACAGGATGGAGGAGAAACCGATCACTCTCCCAGTCTTCAAGCAACATGGAAGACTGGCTTATCCACACAGAGGCAGCTCTCATCGGCTCTACAACTACTGTCTCTACACCACAGGTTAGACACCCTAGAGCAGCTCTGCGACTCTAAGCAGACAGCCGTTCCTCTTCCTGCCCCAAGCACCACATCCTACCGATCCCAACACACCCGGCCTGCCTCAGACGCCGCCCCGGCCCAGCAGTACCCCCTGCCGCTCCTCCTGACGCGGCCTCTGCTCCTGACGCGGACCCACACACCCCTCTTTTCTCCCTCAGGTACCCCCCTGCTACTGTCCTGAACCCTGCTGCTGTCGTGGACCCAGCTGCTGTCACGAGCCCTCATCCGCTTCTGCTGAAGCAGCCCCTGCTCCTGACCCAGGCCCACACACCCCAGCAGGCGCATCTGACGACTCTGTACCTGCCGTGAGGGAAGCACAACATTCATCGCCTCCACACATCCCTTTTCTCCCTCTCTACTCCCACAGATATTGTGTATCTAGACAGTTGTCACCTCTAGTGGCCGGCTCATCCATGCCATCGCCGTTATGGCTCACATGTGGCATGCACCGCCCGTTCTGCCTCACATGTGCCATGCAACCCTGCAGAGAACAAGTCTCCTACACCGCCTGGAGGGAAGGGGGGAGTATTGTAGTGGATTTCTCCCCTACAAACGCTGTTTGTCGCTGAGTAGCCGACCCCGCGAATTCCCAGTGTATGCCTCGTGGTCTGGGTCAACCAGCGCCGCCATACATGACGGAGGTCAACTACTAAGCCACGCCTACCCTCGCTATTTATGACCTGACCTCGTGGTGACCTCCCTCTTCTTCTAGCTACAGCCGCAGCCAGCAACACTACCTCCTCCGCCGCTGCCTGGCGGCCCTCGCTCCCACCGGCGAGCATGGCAACCCACAAGCTGGTCCTCCTCTGAGCACCCTCACCAACCAGCTCTCTCTACATCACGCTTGTAACCACGCTGCCACTTCCCAGCACCAAGCTGCATTGTACATCCAATACAATATGTATACAGTAAGCACATTGTGAGTTTCCTTTCTCCATCCCATCCTGAGTGTGAACCTAAACATCCCATACCCCACAATACCAAATTGCACAAATAGCATCTTCCTTCCAAGCTATGATAATTCTCATTAAAGCTGTTTTCAATGAAAAATAATATTAAAATATATAATCTAATCAGTTAAAATTATCTTATGAACAGCAGCTGTGGTTGTTTATGTTTCAGCAAACAAGATGTAGTTGGTCAATGTACTGTACAGGGTGTCTATAATTTATTCGCTTTTTTTTTACGGGGATTAGCCCACCCGGGCACAGGTCACTGACCCACATCGGGGCCTGGGGGGCGAAAATGTGATGGTAATAATAATAATAATAATAATAATAATAATAATAATAATAATAATAGTAATAGCAATAATAATAATAATAATTCACAGAAAATAAAATTTATAATAAATTCTAAATTGAAAATAAAATAATAATGATAATAATAATAACACTACTACTACTACTACGAATAATAATAATAAAGAACCATACAGAAATACAAAAATTAAAAAAATTAAATAAAAAATGAGAAACAATATAAATGTTGTGATGTCAATGGCCTGGTGGGACCCCCCAATCACTAAAGATGAGGAACATCCCTTCAGTTGCCCAAGGACCTGAAGGGACCCTCCAAGAAACAACCAACACCACATGCATAACCTTAAAGATGGGGATTATCCTGCCAGTTACACAAGGACCTGGCGGGACCCCCAATCATGCACAAAAGATGAAGAACATCCCTTCAGCAACAAAAGGACCTGAAGGGACCCTCCAACAAACCCTAAAACAACACATTCCCTTGGATCGCACTTTAAACTAGCTTAGCTTACCTTATCTAACCTCCCTTGCCCCTGGAGGACTGAGGGACGTCTGTCACTGGTTAAGCCACAAACCAGCCTCCGCAAAGTGGAAAGCCCACCTGCTATCATTCTTCTTCTGTACCTCCCACTTCTTAACTATACCTTGCCCTAAATCTCCTTGTTCACTTCAGAGCCACGGCTCTCTTATCTCGGTGTTCTGAATGACTGACTGGTAAGAGAAACAGTTGAGATCCTGAAATTGTGTGTAAATGAGGCAGAAAGTCAGATCAGCAACCTGGGACATGGTCACAATTTTTGAGATGCCATATGGCAGCAGGGTCTACCATTAGACAACACATTATGCTTCCAATATCTTCCCAGGCGGTAGTATCTCCCTGTTTGGCTGCTGCCTACTACCTACTACCTGAATATGAAGTTCAATAAAAAAATTCCTGTAAAATATACCCTAAAACGGTTTGCTGTAATTAATAAACCAACTCAGGTAATCTTTTGACATGTATTTGGCACACATAACTGCACTTCAGTAAACCTCCACATGGGCCCCTTTGGTAGCACGTAAAATATCAAGGCGGTAGATGATTTCATTCCAGGTGTTATGAAAGCCATTGCTTCTTCAATCCAGTGTCTTAACTCTGCGATGTTATTAATCTTTTTCGCATACACCTTATCCTTTACGCAGCCCCATAAAAAGAAATCCATAGGAGTGATATCCGGGGAACGAGGAGGCTACGGAATGGTTCCAGCACGACCAATTCAACGAGTAGGGAAGTTTCCTTTGAGGAAATCGCACACTTGTAAGCCCCAGTGTGGCGGTGCCCCATCTTGCTGAAAGAACGCATGGGGCTGCATATCTTTCAGCTGAGGTACAACATAAAATTCAAGCAATTCTATAAAATTGGTAGAGTTCACAGTGTTCTCATGGAAGCAAAGCGGTCCAATCACACGGTTGTAGGAGTGCGCGCATACCAAACGTTATTTTGGGACTGTCACATCCGTGTCCAAGAAAAGAATGGGGATTTTTTTGATCCCTCATATACGGCAATTGTGTCTGTTGACTTGACCAGACAAGTGGAATGTCGATTCTTCGCTGAAAACGACATTTTAAAAAATGCTGTACTGTCACAATTCAGGCTGGTAGCAGTCCTATCAAATATATGTTAAAAGATTACCAGAGTTGCTATAGTAATTGCAGCAGACCGTTTTATATCTTTTAGAGAAAAATTTGTATTGAGCTTCATAATCAGGCGAATAAATTAGACCACCCTGTACATTTAAAAAATCAAGCTTCTCAACGTGGAAGGAAGTATCAAGACCCCTTGGACCCTCTTAACAAAGTGGTGAACAATTGTGGAGATTCAAAATATTTCCTCAATGTGACATTTTGAAGCTGTGCGAGGATTATCCACCTTCTTAGGGTGGGGAACGAAGAGGTAATATAGGCTGCACTGACTCACACCCAATTGTTAATCGAGATAGGTTTGT